GAGACTTCGATGTCACCTCTAAGCGTCAGATGCCTCACCTACATTCTTCCAATCCTCACAGCCTCCCTGCAAGGCAGATACGGTTGCTGCCCATTTTACAGATGAGGGGCGGGGGTGGGGAGGTGCAAGTCGCTTCCTCACAGCCCTCGGCATCTAGTGAAGGGGGGCGAGGGTGAGGCCTGTCTGGCTCCACCCTTGGTGCTTTCTCCACCGAGTCCTGTGGTGACGGGGAGACCTATGGCTCCCGAGGAGGGCGCCTCTCCGCTGGCCCAGGTCTAAATGAGATGCACCCGGCTTACATAAGACACGTGGCTGATCTGATTAAGCAGCGTGAGCACACCAGGGCTGCGCTGGAAGGAGCTGGAAGGTGGAGGGCCCGAAGCCAGACAGGACCCACGGTCAGATGCCAGGCGGCCGGCCCTGCTGGGGGCAGTGAGTGGGCGCAGCGGCCACTGGCCGAGCACATGCCCCGCCCCCAGGATCTGCCGGCTCAGCAGGGAGCTCTGGGGGGCAGGGCTGTGTGGGTGGGGTGGAGACGCTGTTCAAAGACAGCTGCGTGCGAGAGAATTGCGGTTTGCTGAGTTGAAAGCAGCCAAAGCGACAAAGAAATGAAGAGGTGGCAACGTAGGGCCGCACAAACGCCCCGCACAAGCCAGCAGAGATGGTGCTGAACAGGGGGAGGGGCCGTGGGGGAGCGGAGGCTGGGGCGCAGTGACACACCCACAGGAAGCGGGGTTGGGGAGCAGAGCTGCTCGGTGCTGCAGCCCAAGGTGTAGCTATGTGTCCAGGGCAGCAACTCGGGGCGTGGGCAAGGGCACGGGGTGGATTGCAGGGCAAAAGCCCATCAGGTACCGTGGGTGAGGGTGAAGGGGAACAGCCGTTTCCAGGCTCCCCCAGACCGGGAGGAAGGAGACCTGGCCCCTGCCAGGGGGCAGGGAGGTAGGAGGTTCCCACCAGAGCTGCATCCACCATGCCCCCCACTGTGTGGTCTCCTCGGAGCCTGTCCCTGAGGAGCTAGTGGCTGCTCAATCTCTTGGTGTCCTGGAGCCAGCCACTCAGCATTAGAAAGACCGGGGAGAGTTAGAAGACGCCAGGCCCTGCACACAGATCAGTACCCAAGGGGCGAGCTGTCACTCCAGTCCCACTTGTGAGATGCCTGCAGTGTCTACTCATTCTCCTCCCGAGCCCGTCAGTATCTGGGGTGCTCGGAAACAGCGCAAAGGAACTTGGGAGGTGTTTGGAGCAGGGCGATTGCATCTGATCATCGCAAAGAGAGCTGGGCACCCCCAGCAGCCTGCAAACCCCAGAAAGAGCCTCGAGCAGGCTCCTGCAGGGAGCCAGGCGAGGTGCCAGACTGCAGGCTGCCACACCCCTGCCACCCTGACTCAGGCATCCTGAGCAGACAGGGACACACCCAGGTTGGGAGAATGCTGACGTGCTTTCCCGGCTGGGTCCGCCCATTAAGAACAAACCTAGAATCTGCATGCACTGCAAAATGCCTGCAAAAGCTGCTCTTAGCAGGGCAGGAGGACTGGGGAAGCTTGTTCAGGCAAAAGGAGAAACAGCTGCTGGCCCCTCGCCCACGGCGCTTCCCTCTGAGGACATCGGAGCCCCCTGCCGGCTGCTGCGGAAAGCTCCCGCTGCTACGGAAAGCTCCCGCTGCTACTCCCAGGGAGGCTGCTCTGGAGGTGGAGCTGGTGGCTGGGGTGCTTAGGGGGTGACAGCCAGCCAGACCCTGAATGAAAGGGGGCCCAGACTGCATGCCAGCGCCCACACAGCTTCTAGGGCACTGTCCTCCACATTCACAAGGGCTGGCTACTTCCCCAAAGCCGCACAAACCCAAGACCCTGGCAAGGAGAGGCGAGGGACCCAGGAGCCCTGACTCCGTCTTCAGCCTCCCGAGAGCTCTCCAGGGAGCTGGCTGTGCAAGCAGTCTCGGAAGCCACGGGCCTGGGAGCCGCCCTCAGGAAGCAGCTTTCCTGACCGCGCTGGCGGCTATGAAAGGCACTGGGGTGGCCTCGCAGCCCCGGAGCAGCCTGGTTCCCGCTGGAGCGTGGAGGCTCACAGGACATGTTTGTCCCAAACAGTGAAGCGACTCTCAGTTATCACAGCCCCTGGAGCGCCAGCCCCACTCCGGTCATTGCAGCGGCCCTGCAGACACCACTTCCCACCCCCACACCGGAAACAGGCGCTGTGGAGGATGTGTGCAGGAGAGGCTGCGGCCTGTGGGTCCTCACTAGCCCCCTGGAAACCCACCTCCCCTCCTGGAGATGCTATACGGGGCAGGCCGAGGCAGCAGGTGTCTGGAAGATGAGGGACACTCAGAAAGACCCCTAAGGCCCTCCCAGGGCCAGACACACGGGGAAAGGGAGGTGCATCGGGCGAGGGTGTCAGGGTAAGGACACCACTGGCCAGGATGTCCTCATGCACAAGGCTCTGCGCAGGTCTGCCTGGCTGCTGCTGCCCCGGGCACAGAGTGGAAGCCACCGGGCCCCTTTCTGGTCACTAGTCGGGGTAGCAGTAGATTCCACCTGACCTCTCTTCTAGACAGGGACAAGGGAGGCGTCCCAGCCTCCTCTCCCCGATCCCAGCCTCACACGAGCTGGTTCCCAGCAAACCATCCAGGTGCCTTAGAGCAGGACTAGAGGGCAGCGGGAGCCACCTCTCTGGGGGTGAAGCTCAGGAATTACCTATAACCCTTCGCAAGTTCCCAACAGAAGCGGGCCAGCCCGCAGACGCCCAGTGACGCTGCGCCTCCTGCCCCGTCTCCCCTGCACTTACCTGAAGGAGGGGACTGGCTCTCACCAGGCCTGCCCTGATGTGGAGAGGCTGGAGGTGAGGGAGGGCAGTGGCCTCACACGAAGAAGATGGCCTGGCAGCGTGGCCAGTGCGCGCACATGCGTGTGCACACACACAGGAAGGGGAGGATGGGGGTGGCCGCCTTGTAGTATGAAGCTGTCCGGCTGGGACAAGGGCGCCCGGGCCACTCCCATCCGTCCCCCAGCAGGAAGCACATGCACTCTAAGGGGCTTTACATGAAGCGACATGGCGCGGATCTATCTACAGGACACGGACACCATCTGCACACACAGGACAGGCAGCAGAGCCACCGCACCCCGGGCCCGTCCCAGAGAGAAGGCACAGCAGCCAGCCAAGCCTGCTGGGATGGGCCCGGGTCCTGGAGGGGGGCAGGACGGGCAGCCTGGAGGGGAGGAGCCTTGCCAGGCGAGCTGGGCTCTCCCAGCCCGAACAGCTTCGCCCTCTTTCTCATGTCCAAGGCAACTGTGAGGCCCTCCCTCTGTGTCCCGTGGGGCCTCGTGAGAGCTCTGAGGCTCTGCAAGGAGAAGCAGGGGGATCTGTGTGCAGGAGGCCTTGGCCTGGTGTGCGTGGGATGCGCCATCTGGTTCCTTGCTGGTGCGGGGCCCCGGCCAGTTCTCCCATCTGGCGGAGTGGCTGGCTCTCTGGGAAGGTCTCCGGTGCGGGCCCGCTCCTCCTCCCCCGAGAGACACTCAGGTCCAAGCAGGTTTATTCCCCTCCGCCCCGTGACGTTCAGCGGCTCTGATGCACACATAATTACACTCGCACGCAATGACACGACACACGGTAAGTCGCTCTGGTGGGCACGCAGGAGCCCGCACACCGGGGACACCATGGCATGCAGACACACAGGGATCCCGGGCAGAAGCGCAGGTGGGGTCGGAAGGCAGGGAAAGCCCCAGCCTGTGCCCGAAGTCCTTGTCAGCCCAGACTTCTCTCCCTCTGGCTGGGGCTGGTGCAGGGAAAAAGGAGCTGGAACGCAGTCTACCACAGACAGACAGGGAGGATGGGAGAGGCCCGCCAGTGCCCTCTGCTGGGCATGATGGGCTGTGCAGCTTGGGGAGGGCGGCATAGGGAGCTGTGTGTTACTCTCAGAGGCAGGGCAAGACGGACATGTGAGGCCAGCAGAGGCAGGGCTTGGTGTGTGTGCATTTTCTGGGGTGGCTTATGTACCAGAAGTTTCCATTGAGAACCTTGATCTTTCTAAATCCTCACTCAGAGGCCAGGCACACCCACCTGGGCACCTGGGAGATGGGGTGTGTAAAGGACTGTTGCTCCCGACACCCAGAGCCACGTGACGGGAGTCCATGCGGTGGGGAAGCCATGCAAGCCGCATGCTCATTCTTGCTTTTCTCTCAGTTGCTCCCTAGAACACTGTGCTATCCTGGCCTACAGTGTCCAGGACCCTGAACACTCCTTCAGGGCCCCCCGCTCACCCCAGGCAAGGTCCCGAAGCCCGATGCCCTGGGCCCCTCCTCCACCTCCAGGCCCCTGACTCACCCTCCTTTTCTATAAGTTGGGGGGCTGCCCCTGTTGTGGAAGGTCCTGGGGTTTTCCCACACTCCCGCGGGACTCTGTTCTGGCTGTAGAACCACTCCATATCCAGACTGACCCACAGCCAGGGCAGGAGAAAGGGGCAGAGGGCTCTGTGTGGGACAGAGGGAGACTGCCAGAGTCGGGTGCCCACTTCAGTGCCCCAAATGCCTGGGGCGGGTGGGTGCTGGCTGGTGTCTGTGTAAGGGTGGGTGTGTGTGCGTGTGTGCGTGCGTGCGCGCAGGGGTGCGTGGGTGCATGCATGCGGCACGTATGCAGAGGTGCTGTGCTGAGGGTGGGGATGGATGGGGAAGAGAACAGTGTACAAAGATGAGCCTGTGTGTCTGGAGAGCTGCCCCGACGTAGATGGCCGTGTGTTTATACAATAAAATTTATTCGACTAGATAAAACCAAACTAATGTCAGTGGGCTGGCATGTCAGTTTCTTCTGGGTGGAAAGGAAGAGGGGAATTCTCCTAAGTATTAAAAAGACCTAAGTAAAAAAGCAGACGGACTAGAAGGCGGCTCCTGGAGGGACCGGGGCAGCTGGGGCCCTGTCCTTGCCTTCCGCCCTGGCTCAGCCTACTAGGGGTGAGGGGGCTCCGGCAGCAACGACTCCATGGAACCAGACCAACCCGTCAGAAAACTGACCGGGGACGTTCTCTCGGTGGTGGTCGCTCGGTAGGCTTGGGGAGCCTCCCCCGCCGTCTCGCCTTCCTCCTCTTGAGGCCTAAGGAAGACACAGCCTCTGTGTAGCAACAGGTGCCTCCCTGCAAGGCCTGGCTTCAGCCGTCCACACTCAGCACCCATGGGGAGTGTGTGCCTCGTGCTGCCCCGCCGGCCCGGGCAGCTGGGGGTACTCAGCAGGGCGCCCCCCAGGCGTGCACTGGAAAAGCGAAGGCAGAAGCCCCAGAAAGGGACACCATCCGCGTGAGAGGGCTGCCGTGGGGGGCTCCCCAGGACAGACGGAGCTGCACCAAGGCATCAGGGCTAAGGGCAACCACTGCCGGCCACCCTTTTCCTGCTGGGGCTTCAGGCCACACGGCGGGGGCAACTCGACTCCCTGGCTTTGACCTCTGAGCACGTGAGTGCACCGACAAGGGGCCGAGGTCAGAGGTGGCCTACGCAGGCCACCAGTTTCAGACCGGAAGCTGCGCCCTCCTCCCCACCCAGTCCCTCCGCAGCGAGCTCCGCTCACCCAGGCTCCTCTGTGGGTCTCTCTGGGGACTGGCGTTGTTCTTTAAGCTCCAGCTGGTGGAGGAAAAGGCCAAAGCGTCAGGGCAGCCGCAGCCGCGCTCTCAGATGACCCCCCCAAGCATGGTCCTGTACCCTGGCCTGCCTCCTGGCTCTGGCATTCGAAGGTCAGTACTTTCCCCACACTCCTACCCCAACCTAGTACCTGATGGCAGCCCAGCGCTGTCCGCTTGGCAGCCGGCCGCCCGAAGGCCCCGACACCCCGCTCACCGTGGTGGGCTTCTCCAGGGCGGCGAAGCGCTCTGCCCAGGTGGCCGTGGATTTCTCGAAGGCCTCGTGCCTCCTGATCAGCTTCTCCACGCTGTCCACCGTGTGCCCGTAGTCCCGGCTGGCCAGGTAGGGCTCCTGGGCGATCAGCCACGCTTCGGCCACAGAGGCGTCCCTTGAGAACTGGCACACCTCGAGCACTGCAGTGGGAACAAGCCCCAGAGCAACCGCCAGGCGGGGCCCATTAGCACTCGTGGTCTGAGTGACCTGGGCGGCCCAGCAGACACACGCAGGGGCTGGCGACCAGGCCGGATGCCCACGCGGGCGGTAGCCTGCCTAGACCCCTGCACAGACCTCCTGCCCAAGGCCACTCTGCCCCACCCTTCCGTCCAGCCCACCTCCACCAGTGGTCTACTTCTGAAACATTCACTGGAACAAACCATTTGGAGAACAAAACGCAGTTTAGGTGCCTCTCTTTGAGGAGCACCAGGGTTCTCTTCCTGGCCCGGCATGCCTCACACCATCTGGACAAGCAGCCATGCTGACCGGTCTAAGCCTTATTTATTTTTTTTGCTAGGTACTAGGCATTGAGCCCAGGGCTTCATGCCAAACAACCTCCCTAGTCCTTTATTTAATTTTGATTTTAAGACAAACTCTCATTAACTCACTAAGTTGCCCAGGCTGGGCTTGAACTTGAGATTCTCCTGCCTCAGTATCCCAGAGTGCTGGGATTTCAGGTGTGCGGCACCACGCCTGGCTAAGAGAGAAAAGTGAGGTTTCCCTCACATGCCCTGGGCCCCCAGAGGCTGGAGGACGGGGTTCGCGTCACGTTGTGCAGAGCCAGTGTCCAGGATGCACTAGAGCCACGCCCTGACCCCTCCCGGCCACAGCTGGGGCCCAGCAGGCATAGGTGGGGTGCGGGCGGGGTGGGCAGGGAAGCTGGCATACTGGTCTCTAGGGAGCTTCCAGAGCGTGTGTACTGGGCCTTCTGCTGGGACCCTCGAGACCCGCAGCCTAGAGCTTGGTGGACGTGTGATGCCCACAGCCCCAGGACCTTCTCGGGCAGCACCATCCTCTCTTCCCCTCGGCAGCAGCGGGTAAGGGGGAGCCCCCCGGCTCCCTGGGCCCTGAACTGCACTCACACATGCGGAGCCGGTCATCCCGGTCCTCCCACTTCTTGTCCATCTCTAGCCGCTTGGCCATCATCTGCTGCAGTTTCTCGCGGATCTGCAGGGAAGGGAGGGACAGCAGCTCAGGAACTGGGAACCCGCCCCTCCGCCCGAGGCAGCGCACAGACGGCTGCAGAGAAGGCCAGACATGGTCACGCAGTCCTGGCTTCAGGTCTCGACCCTGCTTCTTTCCAGCTGTGCAGCCTGGGCGAGTCCCTTAACCTCTCTGAGGCCCCCGTTTGTGCCTTGCCCGTGCATCCACGTGCATGGTGGGGTCAGTACGGGTCTGCTCCCTAGGGAGGTGGGGATGGGCTTGTGCGGAGCTGACTCCTCGCCCGTGTGCGGGCAGCCCCGATGCTCCACAGGTGAAGATGGGTCCCTCGAAAGTTGCCGGGCCAGCAAGGGTGGGGACAAGCGCATGCAGGGGCTCACCTCCTCCGAGGCCTGGTGCTGCCGCTGCAGCAGGGACTCCCCGAGCTCCAGGCAGGTGTTGAAGTTCTTGGCCCGGGTGTTGATCTCTGCCTTGATGCCCTGGTGATACTTCAGGAGCAGTTCCACAGAGGACACATCCCTGCGGGCAGGAGGACGAGGGCAGAGAGAAGCATTTGGGAGCCACGACGGCAGAGGGGCCGCCTCCCACCTGTCCCCGCCCTCTCTTCTCTCTGGCCAGCCTGGGCGTCGTCTGCTTGCCCAGCGGCGGCAGGACCACTGACACCTTTCGTCTTCCCTTGGTCACTGGCCAAGGTGTGGGTAGGAGGTATGGGGATTCCGGAAAAAAAATCAAGTGTGACAGTTACACTAAACTGTCACCTTGATGGGCTTGGGACCCACCTAGGAGATCAGTGAAAGCACGCTTCTGGCTGTGTCTGCCCGTGTCACAGAGGCCTGACACGGGGTTTATACCTCTTATCTGGTCCCTGGCCCCTTGTCTGCTTCCTGGTCACCACGAACTGTAGGTTGTTTTCTGCCACGCCCTTCCTCCAGGGTGTTCCTGCCTTAGGGGCCAGCCAACCATGGACTGGAATCCTTGAGACCATGTGGCACATTAACCCTCTCCTGTACGTTGTGGGTGTCGGGTATTTAGTACCAGTGACAGGAAAACTGACTAATATACCTGGGAACATTTTTCAGCAATAAAAAGTATGGAAGTACTGCCTCCTAATACAACATGGACGAACTTTGAAAGTAGCTTAAGTGAAAGAAGCCATTTACATAAGACATGACATGATTCCATTTGTACGAAAAGTCCAGCATAGGCAATCGAGAGAGACAAAAAGTAGAACAGAGGCTGCCAGGGGCAAAGGGCACAGTGAGCGACTCCAACAGAGGTGGAGTTGGGGGTGGTGGTGGTAAGGGAAATCTAAATCCAGATTGTGGTGGTAGTCGTACAAATGGGAAATCTATAAAATCACTGAATGACATACTTTAAGTAGGTGAAGTATGGTACGTGACTTATATCTCAACAAAGTTGTGAAAGCTAAAAATACAGCCATTGACAAGGCACCAGAGGGGCGGCGGGGCAGAGATGAGTCACCAGTAGTTGCTGAACTGACACAAACTGGGCAGAGCTGAGTCCTGCATGGTTTTCCCTGCCATGTGCCTGGCCCCCTCTTTCATGGACAATCAGCTCCATCCTGAGTTTCAGGGCAACAGCCCCCTAGATCCCAGTGCTGGGAAGAATGAACAGTCTTGGACCTGCCCAGCTTTGGGTGTGTGAGCTGCTTATTTCGCTGACCCAGTGGTCACTACCCCCACGGGAGAATGCGGTGACAGACGTCTTTCCCCCTTACTCTGAGATAATCAGTTCTCCCAGTCAGAGCCAAGCAAGTCCATTTCTTCCAGGACCCGGCTGAGGTCTCGGGCGTCCCTCAGGGATTCCCAGGCACCCAACAGTCCAGGACGGCCCCCAGGGAGGAGCCCGGTGCACAGCGGGGCTGTCTCGAGGGGGCCCCCTCACCTGGGCTTCTCCTGGGTCTCAATCTGCCGGATGATGCTCTCCATCCAGGAGAGGAGGTCCCGGACCATGCTGAAGAAGCGGAATTTGTCGGCCGTGTCCACTAGCTGGGTCCGGCGCCCGGCACAGGCGTCGAGAAGTGCCTGCCAGGCAGCAGACACCTCCTGCTCCTTGCTCTGGATGGCATCTGCCTTCTCCCCAGCGTAGGCCGTCTGCAAGCGCGTGGCCACGTCCTGGAACTGCTGCACCTGTGCAGTCAGGCGAAAGCGGACGTTGTTCCCTGGGCAGAGGGCTCTTGACCTGGACTGCAAGGGAGGGTCCCGCCTCCTCCCAGCAGGGAGTCTCCCAGCTCTCGTGCCTCTGCCTACCCAAGGCACCCCTGGACTTTGGGGAGAGTTTGAAGTGAGCGGGGCTCTGCGCCCTTAGACCACCTCAGAAGTAACAATAAGAGAGCATCGATGGGCCAGGCACTGTTCTACACAGCTCACTTCTATCAATTCTCTCCATCTTTACAGCAGCCCACGAAAGAGGTGCCATCACCACGCCCATTTTTGAGATGAGGCAACAGGCACAAGGAGGCGAAGGAGCTGGCCTCAGTTCCCTCACACTAGCCCAGGGGACAGCGGGGTTGGAACTGTGCTCCTGGGTCCCTGTTTTCCCCGCCATGCCTGCTGCCTCTCCAGGGAAGGTGCTGGTTCAGATCCCCTGTCTGGAGCCAACCCCAGAGAGAGAAGCCTCACACTCCGAGACCTCAGTCGGGTTATACCTGTCTCAGGGGCTGCTGTTTACAGGTTCCACCTTCAGCTTCTAGGCGGATACCTCCCTAAGAGGTCCCCTTCGGGGGGAAGCAGGGCCCACCCCACTTGGATGTCCTATCCCTGAACCCCGCTGTATGGGCCTGGGACTGCACAGTTAGCTCATTTCTTTCTACTCCGGTGGAAGCCTGGGGGTCCCTCGGCAGCTGGGGCTTTACACACCTGCCCTTTCTGTAAACACTGAACTCTGGGAAACACTAGGGACCCGCAGAGGTGCCTCCGGGTGTACCCCAGTGATTAGGAGGGGGGTCTAGGCAGCTGGCCTGGGAACCCCACTACGCATGTGAGGTCTACAACCAGACCACAGGCCTGAACACTGGCTCCCTTGCATACCTGCAGGCGCCCAGGCAACTCATGTGCTGCCTCGATGCCCTCATCTACTAAACGCAGACCGTTCGCAGCCCCTTGGGAGCACAGCTAGGGGGATCTGGTGACTGCGTCTGCGGCCTAGAACAGTTCTGGGGGCTGGAGGAGCCCTATGCGTTAGCTAAAGATAGGGAGCGAGCAGAGAAATTGGACCGGAGGCCACCCGTGAAGAGTCAGCGTAAGGAGTTACTTCTGAAGCTAGAGTATCTGATGGTCCCTGCTCTCTGCTCTGAGCTGTAGGTTCTCTAGGGGAGAGGAACCTCCTGGGGCCCATTCTAGAGTTTCCCCTGTAGGTGCCGCACGGGGCCCGACCCGCTGGGGCGTGGGGAGGGGTTGGGGAGCCCGAGGGCACCTGCACGCCCAGCAGGTGGAGCTCCCGCTCGAAGGCGGTGTGCACGCGGTGGAAGGACTCGGCCGTGCTGGCGTCCAGCCCCACGTCCTCGGGCAGCTCCCGGTGCTTCTCGTGGATGAGGCCTAGGATCTCGGCGCCCGTGTAGAAGTAGCGGTGCAGGTCATAGGAGGCCGCCAGCAGCTGCATGCGCGTGTCGATGAGCTCCAGCAGGTCCGCCCACATGTCGTTCAGCCCGTCCTTCCACTCGGCGATGGTGGCTGCCTCGCTGTGCCCGGCGTCAATGAGCCGCTCGATGATGGCATTCACGTTGTCCACCCGCTCCTGCCCGATCGCCCCAGTCTCCCGGGCAAAGTCTCGGAACTTGTCTCTGAGCATCTGGACGCGGGGCAGACAGAAACGGGTTCAGCAGAGCTCAGGAGCAGGTGGACATCACTACGCCCTAAGCAGCGCACTCCGCTGCGGCCACAACTGCCTGGCCTGACCTCACGCCTTCCCCAGGCGGCCCGAGCCTGCAGGCCCCGCCTGGCCCAGTGTAACTGCATCTCTGACCCATGCGGGGGCGCTGCGTGGGTCAGGAAGGACGTCTGGCCGGGTCTGCCGTGTTATTAATGGAACCACAGAAAGCAGAGACTACAGCTACTTACAGTCACGTGGTCAAAGTCTTGCCCCATCTCCTGGTCAGAGGCCACCTTCTCCTTTTCTGTGATCCACTGCTCCAGGTCGTCGGCCTCCCTCTTCAGCTGGAACAGGTGGTACATGTTCTCCAGCTTCCGCCTGCGTTCCTCGGCCATGTCCTTCAGCCCGGCATACTGCTTGTCCACTTGCCCTTGATGTCTGATAATCTGTTCCCTGGAATTCAAACCAAGAAATCCCTTAAAAGTGGCCACCGAGAGCCCACAGCAGGCAGCTCTGAGGAGCGAGCTGAGCCCCCAAAGGCCCTGGCAGGGGCACGTGGGAGTAGGAAGCCCAGGGAAGAGATGGAAAGAGAAGCGACGGGCCTTCAGGTCGTGACGTTGACAGGCGCGGCGGGACTGTGTCCTCCTGGACAGTCAAGTCCACAGGGCCTCTCCCGCACAGCCACGTGCACAAGGCGAGCTCTTTCTCCTTCCCAGGAGCCTTGCGGGGCGGAGCTCTGAGCAGGGCCCCAGCAGCGGCCCTGCGTAGCTCTTCAGGGAGAGACATGGGGCTCAGTCCTCGGGTCCCTGGGAGACATGCTGGGGTGGCTGCTGAGCTTGCAGTAACGGGTGAGCTACAGGCAGCTGGGAGCAGGGCCGTGACTCAGGCAGCCTGGAGGGTCTGGCTGGTGGGCGCCCCCTTGGCCGGTTCAGATAGTACCGCCTTTCTACCTTCTTGCCTACCTAAGGATTTTGCTGAGACCCTGTGAAGTCCTGAAGCACCTTCTAAACCATGAAAAGCAAAGCAAAGTTAGTCTTCAGTGCCTCTACGCATATTCTAATTCTGCAAAAGATGGAGCTCTCAGTTCACCAAGACCGTGGTTTGACTCTTCCATTCTCTGATCTTTTTGTAAACCTGGCCTCCGGTGGTCAGTCCACGTCAGGTTCCCCACACAAAACCACGGCAGAAAATGGAGGTGGGTCAATCTGAAGGGAGCTTGGCTGGAGGGGCCCCTGGCCTGCTGCCCACGCCCTGTCAAGTCCCCCGGGAGCACACGCACCCCTCAGGGTGGCCTGCAGCCAGCAGGCTCCGGGCCCGGCTGGCCAGCTGCTTGATGTTCCTCCCGTACTCCTCCACCGTGCGCTGCAGCCGCAGGTGCCGTTTCAGCATCACGATGGCGCCCTCTTCATCCTAGGAGGAGCAGGCAGTCAGCGTCAGCGCCAGGCTGGGCCGTGCTCCCTGCCCAGGCAAGGTCCAGACCAGCTTGTGGGGCTCCGAGGCGGGGAGGAGAGCCACACGCCCTCCCTCCTGCTACGTGATCCCCAGCACTGCTCAGGCCCGGCTTCCCTCTTTCCACTCCCCCAGGTCTTAGCTGCTACCTGCCCTTCCTCCCGGGCCGACGGCTCCTGTCCCCATTTTAACTTCCTTGGTTACTCCAGCTTTGAGATCCCCATTTGCCTCCTCTCCCCGCATCCAGCGGCAAGCTCACCAGTACCAGATCTACAGCCCAAGGGTGAACAGCCCTGGGTTGCAGCGTGTCTGTGTGCAAGCAGGGATCCCGGCTGTGGAATACGCACTGTAGGGAGCTGGCGAGGAGAGGGGTGTCCCATGGAGGGCCCCCGGGGACAGCAGAGAGGTCCTGGGCGCTCACTACATACCCTCGCCCTGCCCTGGTACACTTGGACTCCAAGGCTGCCCCGACTGACCTTGGGGGGCTCATCGGAGAAGATGTAGAGCTCCTGCTCGCTGATCCAGGCCTCGGCCTCGTCCGCGTCCAGGTAGTACTGCTGCGCCTCATGGGCGTCCCGCAGGCGCTGCCCGCGCCCGACTGCTGCCTGCCGCAGTGTGTCCCAGGAGGACTGCAGGTGCCCCAGGCGCTCCTCGATGTCCTGGAGGTCGGTCTCTGCTGCCAGCACCAGCTGTTTCCCTCGCTGTAGCACATCCTCCACCCGCGGTGCATGGCCCTGGACCTCATTCTGCAGCGTCTGCGACCAGAAGGAAGGGCTCAGGGGCAGGGCCTTCTGACCGGGGAGGCTGCATCTGCTGCCGAGGGCCCGGGTCTCTTTCCCTGCTCCCCTCTCTCCTCCTCCTGCTGGAGCAGAGCAGGTGATGCAGAAGAAACTGCCAGGGCCTCTTGGCAGCAGGATGCTAAGCACCCATGGGCATCCTCCCTTTGCCCTCAGGTGCCCACTGAGAGAAGCACTGGACATTGGTACAAGGCAGGGGAGGAGCCTGCTGGTAGCAGTGGCTGGGCTGGGACTTGAACACCGCGCTCGCTGGCTGACCCCACAGCCTGCGTGGGCGTGTCCCTATATTTCTATGTGTCGGCAGGGCCTGGCTGCTCAGGTACATGTATCGGGAGAAAGAAAAATCCTGTCTAATGGCCTTCCGGTATTTCATTTCAACACATTTTGCTCGAGATAAAAGAACAGTGACATCTGCCTCTTTTGTAGAATTTTTGGCTTTCTCTCCATTTCTATTTCCCACATCTTTTGCGAACTGTGTGAGGCCGTGGTCACCCAAATGGCCTTTCCCTCCCACTTTGGTGGCCAGGTCACGTCTTTCTTCAGGGGGCCCTGACACGTGGCCAGGCTCTGCTCTGGGTCCTCCATGCCAAGGCTGGCTGCTGCGTGTATGTGGGCTCTTGGGCAACATTAGCCTCGCTTCATTCTGATGACAATTTCCCCACGGCCGTAGCACCGTCTGCAAGGCAGCGGCGAGAGCAGTCTATGTGGGAAGCGCAGTGGCCGCCAGCTCTCAAGACTCATAGGAGTGGCGATGCCCACAGGGCACTACCTGAAATGCATTCTGCGCTTTACACCGGGAGCCTTGATCTGGATGACTTCCCATGGTCTACACAACTGGGTTCAAACAGCCCGTGCTGCCAGCTCTACTGCCATTTGCTTTCCCTGAGATCTTATGACCTCGGCACGGTGCTCTCGAAAAGTGTCTCTTCCCTTGAGAAGCCTTTCTAGTTTCCTGTCGAGGGCGCTTATCTATGATGTCTTCTCCGTCTTCATCTATTCAACACATACTCCTAAGGGCCTTGCCTCTGTGCCAGATGCTGTTCCAGGTGCCGGGGATGGGGGGGGGAGGGAATGGAAACGAGGTGAAGAAAACCCCTGTTCTCATAAAGCTTATCGTCACGTAGATGAAGTAGATGGTAAGCATGTAAATAAATGAAGGCTTCACCTTTCTCTCTGGATCCTACCAAGAAAATTCAACAGCGGATGAAGGATGTCCGCCAGGTGAGGGGTGGCCACTCCGCTAGGGAAGGGCCTTTCTGAGGAGATGACTTTGGAGTGAGACGTGAATGACAAGAGGGAGTCAACCACACAAACACCCGGGGGAGTGTTCCCGGCATAAACAAAGAGCGAGTACAAAAGCCCCGGGGTGAAAATGAGCCGGGGCTGTCAGGGGGCAGAGAAAGCGGCAGAAGGACTGGAAGAGAAGAGCTAAGGAAGAAAGGCGGAAGTGCTAAGAGATGTGGCTGAAATCCTAAAATTCATGTGGAACCAAGAGACCCGGAATAGCAAAAGCAACCCGGCGCGACAAGAACAAAGCAGCAAAGGCATCATGATCCTGGGTTGGAACTTATATCACAAATATACAGCGATAAAACCAGGGGCTGGGGATTTAGCTCAGCGGCACAGCGCCTGCCTGGCAAGCTCGACATCATGAGTTCGATTCCCGGTATTGGAAAAAAACACAAAAACAAAACAAAGCAAAACAAAAACCAGCGTGGTACCTGGCACAAAAACAGACATGAGAGCAGAACAGGGGACACAGAAACACCAGCTCATCCAGGGGTTTGATCTTGATAAAGGGGACAGAAACAAACCCTAGAGGAAAGACAGCCTCTTTAGTAAACGGGGCTGGGGACACTGGCTGTCCACATGCAGAAGACCGAATCTAGACCCATCGTGCTCCCCACATACTACACTAATACCAAAATGGACCAAGGTTTAAATGTTAAAACAGAAGCACTTAATCTACTGGAAGATTAAATAAGTAAAACTCTTGAAGACAGAGGCAGAGGCAAGGATTTTTTGAGCAGAGAAATAACACCAAGAATGGCGCAGGAAATAACATCAAGAATCAACACGGGATCATATGAAATTAAAAAGCTTCTGCACAGCCAAGGAAACAACCAACAGAGTGAAGAGAAAATCTACAGAATGGGAAAAATTTTTGCCAGCTATCCCCCAGAGGACTAATATCTAGAATATACAAAGAACTCAAAACATTAGATCTCCCAAAATAAAAGACTCAGCCAAAAGATGGCCAGTTGAAATGAACAGGCATTTCTCAAAAGAAGGACTAATGGCCAATAAGTACATAAAAAAAAAAAAAAGTTCAACATCACTGGCCAGCTGAGAAATGCAAATTAAAACAAACTGAGACGCCATGTTACCTCAGAAGGAATAGCTGTCATCAAGGAATCAAGAAATCAAATAATAACAAATGCTGGTGAGGCTGTGGGAGTGGTGGTGGTGGGGGCAATGCTACCATGGTGGGAATGTAAACTGGTGCAACCACTATGGAAATCAGCATGGAAGTTCCCCAAGAAACTAACACTAGAAATTCCACTGGACGCAGCTATTTGCCTTCTAGATATCTTCTCCAAAGAGTTAAAGATATCACAGTGCCTCAAGGAGATAGGAGAAGTTAGGCAGATAGGGCACAGGTCCTGAATAGTTAACCTAAAGCCCTGGCTTAGGACAGTAAACACACCAGAGGGCCGAATAATTAACTTAAGCACACTGACTATCAGGGTCTCATGGAATGCAAGGGACAAAGAGCGGGTCCCTAACCAAATAGGAGAAGCCCTGGAGGAAGTGACTTACAAACAAAGCCGCTTGCATTCTGGACCTCAGAGACCTACCTGCAACCAGGAGCCCAGGGCAGAGGTGGTGAACCTCTGGCACACATGCTGCAGTGGGCTGTCTGGATTGCAGAAAGCTCTCTAAGGTTCGCCATCACGGATGCACAACATTTGCCGTAACAGAACCCCTCTACAACTAGCAGGGAGCTTTCCTTTATTCTTTCTAATAAATACGAATTTGGCCATTCTCCACCACTTGCTGCTTGCTGTTTTGTCAGCTTCAATCTTCAATGCCCCCAAATGACTTGAGAGCTAGAGAGCTGCTTACAATATCACAGTGATACATGCATACCGGTGTTTATAGCAACACAACTCATAATAGCTAAATCTTGGAAGCAGTCTATATGTCCATCAATAGACGAATGGAGAAATGTGGTATTTACATACAAGGGAGTATTACTTTGCCATTAAGAAAGATAAATGAGTTACCTGCAGGAAAATGGATACATTTTGAGACCATATTAAGTGAACTAAATCAGATGCACAAATTTAAATACCACATGGTTTTTCTTATATGAAAAACTCAGACCATAAAGAACAAAGTAAGATAGATCATGGGAAATAGGGAGATTGCTTTTGTTCAAATGGGAAGGGGATCAAGAGGTGGAACGAGTGGGGAGGGGAGAGAAAGAGGGATGAAAGAAAGAATTAAGATGAATTCTGTAAAGGCCAGCGTGGTGGTGCACACCTGTAATCCCAGCATTCGGAGGCTGAGACAGGAGGATTGTTGTGAGTTCAAGGTCAGCCTGGGCTACAAGGTGAGCTCAAGGCCAGCCTGAAATGCACAGCGAAACCCTGTCTCAAAAGAGACAAAAAAAAAAAAAAAAAAAGATGTATTCTGTCGACGTAACAACTCTCCACAAAGAATGTAATCATTATGTAACATAAATATGTACTACTAATAATTAAAACTGAAAAAAAAGATGTGGTTTAGAGGCAGGCGGGAGCCAGAGCAGGCAAGGCAGTAGTTCTTAACTCTGAATAACCCTCTGCCAGAATGGATACTGCCCAGCTCCATTCCTGGAGATCCTAACTCTGATCTGAGGTGAGAGAGGGGCATCTGTGATCTCAAAGCTCCCCTGGTGATTTTAACATGCAGCCAGGTATGAGAACGAGCCCCATGACACCTTGCAGAATTTGTTCTGACTGCAATGGGAGCCGACAGAGTGGTGGTCCTCAGAGCAGCATCAGAATCGCCCAGGCTGCAGGAGCTTGTCAGGGATGCCGAGGACCAGGCTCCGCCCCAAAGCTGACTCGGTGCTGGACCTGGGCTGGAGTCCGGTCAGCTGCATTCCACAAGCCCCCTGGGTGAACGCTTATTGGACGGAGGGTTGTCAGGAGGAAAGGCAGCTAGCTTTATGCTTAGCCAGGGTAGCCTAAAATAATCTCCGCTGGGGCGCCTGCGCTTTCCCAAGAGGTTATTTTTCCTTCTTGATGAGGGCAGCCCCATCCTTATTTGATGTGCTCCTTTCCTAGAATAGCAGCTGCCAGCCAGGGGAGCTGGAAACCTTTGAGCACTGGAACTTACTGAGGCTCGACAGAAGCAGAAGTCTCTAGTGTTGGAAAGACAGGCGCTGCCTCATTTTACAATTCAGACAAGTGAGGCCTCAAGGCCACTCTCTCCTACTGGCCCTGTCCTTTCACTGCAGCTTGTGGCCTTAACTAAACCCAGATCTTAGCTTCTAGCCCAGCTCTCTGCAAGTGGCTGTGGGAGCCTTTGTGACTAGATCAGGTTAACTGGAAGCTAAGGGTGCAAGGGAGCTTTGAAGAAACCACTTTGAGTCTGGCGCAGGCCTCTGCCCATTGCTGGGCTCCGCGGGTCCTGTGAGCTGCATTTGCTGCGGCCACTCTGGAGGGAGGGAGTGGTGTGTGCCATGGAGCTGCAATTCCTTTTCTTTCCCAGGGAGAGAATTCTGACATGCTAGTTTCTTTCCCGTGCAGTTCTGACATGGCACCTGGGACCCACCGCTCTGATCTGGGTCTAGGTTCCCAGGCTCTCCTTGCTGACCCAGAGAGCTGACCAGGCAGGATGAGGGATGAAGCCACTGTGACCCCACACAGCTGGCCTCCTTGAGGGTCCAGGCTCCCCCCCACAGCCCCGGCAAAGCGAGTGTCTGACGTCTGCTTGTCCCAGGATTCAGACCAGGGCCTTAGCTACTCCCCGTCTGGCCTCAGATCGATGAAACAGGTGACGTCCCTCCTAGTGCTCAGAGTCCACGTTCAGTAGCTTTCTGGTGGTGTTTGAGCCCCATGATATCCTCACGTGACCAAAGGGTCTATGGGCCCCGAGGTCCACACATGCCAATCTCAGCCCTGGGAGAGGGCCAAGGCAGTGTTTGGGACAGAAACCAGGAATGGTTGGCATCCTCTTGGGGAGGCCAGTGAATCCAGGGTGACGAAGAATGCCCCTGAATCCGGAGAACCACAGTTCCACCCTCCTCTTTAATCCTCCCAGAATTCTCTCCGCAATCACCAAAGCCTGCCCTTGTGCAGCGGGACTTCAAATACCCCAAAGCTACCGACAGGAGCAATAACCTGCTGTTTCTGGCCTCCCACAGAGCACGGCTGGGAGGACCCCCGGGTCCAGGCCCGAAGGCCGGGTTGGTGGCGCAGGACTCACCTGGTTCTTCTTCATGAATAGCTGCACGGTCTGCAGATTAGCACCACAGTCTGCTGACTGGGCCAGCGGCAGCCTCTCCTCCACCCAGAGCTACAGAGACCAGGGGAGAACTGATGACAATCATGGCCACCCTTTCCTGAGGTGGCCAGACAGAGGGCTGCGGGCAGTGTCTCCCTGCTCCCTCCCAAGACCCCACCCACCGGGGCCTTGCCCCCATTTTATAGATGGGGGCGTTGTGATACTTCGCACAGGTTCCAAAAAACCTGCTCCTGCTCTCACGATGGGGAACTAACATACTAACATAGATAAACCCAAGTCCATCTGACCCTCCAATCCACGCTTAGCGCCATCAGTACTAGCAGGTGATCAGTGAGTTGCCACTCAAAAAGCACCAGCTTTGTTCTTCTACTTAATGCAATCCCCGCAGCAACCCCAGGAGATAAAGGGTAAGATGACCGGTCATCCGCTGCCGCCAAGAACCCTTCTGGACAGCAGCCGGCTACCCTGACGGCAGCTGGCGGCTGCAGCCCACGCACCGTCTCATCCTCTAGGTCCCGGCTGATCTGCAGCTTGGCTCTGGATAATTCCAGCTGCTTCCTCCTCCTCCCCAGTGGTTCCAGGAGGTCCAAGAACCGCTTCTCGACACTCAGGTCTGCTTCTTCTTCCAACGATCCGAACAGCTCCTCCAGCTCCTCCTTACGCACGTACACTTGGTCCTCCACTCGCTGAGACACAAGGGGACAGCGTTAGTACTGGCTCTGGCACCCCGGCAGCCCCTTCTGGCTGTTCATCCAACTGCCTCCCAGCCATCCTCTATGGCCCGGCATGAGCTCAGCCTCCTCCGGGAAACCTCCCTGGAGGCCGCCTCTTTTCAGAGCTTATCTTATATCTCCCAGGCAACCTTTCACTGGATCCTTGTCCTGCCCACTGCAAAAGGGGGAGGAAATGGATTATGAACCAGGAGACACTTTTGCACAACAAAGCAAGTGCTGCTAAGAGGAACAAGAGTGTTTACTTCAGGGCATCAGGTTTGTGCCCAAGGTCCCTGCTCGTCTAATACTCTGAGCCTACAGTCTGCTCACATGCCTTCAATTTAGCCAACATCCGGTTGACACTGGTCAGGTCCTTGCCCAGGTCATCTGATCGCAGCTGGTCCTCCATGGCGCTGATCCACTTGTTGAGGTCAGCTTCCGTCTGCAAGCGCAGGTCAGAGCTCCTGGCCTTTGAGAGCTCTTGGGTCGCCTTCTTGGTGGTGTCCTGCAGCTCATCCCAGAGCCGGTGCAAGGCGTCCAGCCTGTCGCACACCCTGATCTTGAACCAGGGCTTCTCCTCCATCAGCTGCTTCCCTTCCTGTAGGGGAAGGAGCACAGCTCACCCTCCAAGGCCTGGAGCAGCCCTGCTCTGGGTGAAGGCTGCCCAAGGGGAGGTCAGGAACGCAAAGGACCGCACAGCACTTGGTGCAGCTCCACCAAATACTCTGAACCCCTGGAATTATCTGCAGGGAGAGCAGCATTGGAGGCGAATGACTCAGGGAGACCACAGGATGGGGGGCTGCAGCTGGTACTGAAAAAACAAAGATTCAAGATCCACCCAGGTGCTGGACACGTGGAGTGCCTCGGGTTCCGCGCTAAGCTTCAGGATCTCTAGCTGCCGAGCATGCCTTAGCGGGGGTTTCACCTGTACAAATGTATCGCTTTGGGGTGTGCACAGTGTGATAGGACCTGGGCCTGGAACATACAATGCTAACAGCAGTCACTATTTACTGAGGCCCTCACAGTTGCCGAGTGCTCTCCAAAGTGCTTTATCTGTCTTCAAGTATTTAGCGCTCATAACCCCATTGGGTAAGCGCCATTCTCCTCATCTGCAGGGAGGAGGAAGTCGCGGCCCGGGGAGGCTCAGGAGTCTGTCCGGCTCGGAGCTGCACCCTCACTCATTATGGGGCTTGGTCTCCTGTGGGCCCTGGGCCTGTTTCTTGCTGGACGGCCGCAGCAGGGAGAGCTAAGGGACGTGGGCCCCAGACCTAACGCCAGCCATTGTGCAGGCCCGCTGGAGAGGGGTCCCCCGGTCCCCACCAAGGAGGGTGGCAAAGGACTCGCTGCTCCCTGGTGGCTCCCTGGGCCTCTCTGCGTATCTCATGTCCTTTCCCGGCCCTGGACAGGACAATGGACCTAAACAGAAATAACTGCTATCTTGGCTTTGGGTCTAGTTGAAGTATCCTCAGTGTCCTGGACTGTCCCCAGACACGGATGACCCAGCAGAGGCACCAGCTCCAATCAGACTAAAATAAAACCAGACTGGCAATCTCAGGAGCTCTGTGGTCTTAATGATTTAGACAAGTTTTTTCCCTGCTGAGTCCTACACCACCCAGCAAGTTTTGGTTCAGTGTCCGCGGGGGCAGCCCCGGTCACAGAGCGTCCTCAGCAGCAGGCGCGGCAGCCCCGACGTGTGCTACTCACCGCGTCGATGTTCTCAAGCCACCCTTGGTGCGAGGCCAGCTCGGCCAGAAAAGCCTGGTGCTTCAGCCATTTGTTGTGAAGGTTGCGTGTTTCATCGTAGGAGACGTCCAGAGATGTCAGCAGCTTGTCATTGATCCAGAGAGTGAGCTGCGGGAGGAAGGGTGAGGCTGATGGTGCCTGGTTCTACTCCTGGCTGCAGAAGAAGGCTGAGGGTGTGTGTGTGCTTGTGTGCATGCATGCATGTGTGTGTGTGTGTGTGTGTGTGTGTGTGTGTGTAGAGGACAAATATCCATCTCTAGATCCCTAGGTCCCAGCATCAGGCCAGGGCCACAATGTGGGTGCAAGTGGGTCTACCTCACTAGAAAGTGTGTGGTGTGAGACCAAGAAAAATTTATTCTTCTCTCTGTATTTCCACCACCTAGGACAGGGCCTGGCATAGTGTAGGAAGTCAGTGACATTTTACTGAGTGGATACCTGAACCTATCCTTTGGTGGTAGGGGGAGAAATCATTAATAAGCAAAAGAAAAGTATTATTGGAGGAAGAGGTCAGGGACAGAGCCTAGAATTAACGAGGACGGAAGAAGTATGATAACTTCTGATGCTCTTAAGAGGTCCTGGCACTGTAGCAAGCCTGGCGTGTGCCAGGGCAGAGGTGGATGAGAACAAAATCACCTAGGCTGGGAGGAAAGGGCAAAAGAGGAAAGCAGGGAAAACCCCTGCCGATGCAGTGACCCAGAGGGCAGACTAAAGCCTGTCCCTCTGCAATGGGCCCTAGAGGAGCAAGCGCCTCCTAAGCCAGCAGTTCTCCAACTGGGAGGCTTGTTTAAAATGCCTCTTCCTGCATCTCACTCCTTAAGGTTCTGATTCACAGAAATCCGCTCTACCCAGGGCCAAGTCTGGATCCACAATGTGCAGGGCCTGAAGCGACATGAAGACGCGGCAAATGCACTACACGTGGGTTTCAAAATGGCAACAGCAAGGCATTAAACCAAGGGCGGCTCCGATGTGGATGAACGCAAAGGTTACACGCCCTTGAAGCCAGGCCTGCCCAGCCCCTGGCAGATTCCAGCAGAGAGAGCGTTCAGATAACTCTTTGAGAAACGCTGTCCTTGACTTGGAAAATCCAAGAGTGACTTTTCAGGTTTGAAGCGGGCAAAGGAACTGCAGAACTGAAGAGTTCCAGGGTGAACTAAAAGGACTGAGTATCCCGCCCATGAAATCCCACACTCTGGTGAGACAGAATCCCCGTGAGCCGCCACCCCTAGCACTTTGCTCCCAGCCAGGGTCGTGGAGAGCAGCCCCGCCCGCTGGACTCACCTCCTGGCAGTTCTGGAGGAAGTGCTGTAGCTCCAGATTGTCTTGCAGGGCAACCGAGGCCTCCTGGGCCTTCTGGTTGTTCTTCTGGTGCCTGGAAGGAAGCCACTGCCAGTCACAACCGTGCCCAGCCCCCACCCGGCCCCTCCACGGTGCGGGGGGTCCAGGGGTGCCCGGAGCAGAGAGTACCTGTCTTCTATCAGCTGCACCTTCTCCTTGATCTTGTCCGCGTACAGGTTCCCCTCAGCTACCAGCTTGTTTCCAGAGTCCACAGGACTCAAGACCTTGTCCTTGTTGTTCTCCATAGACGTCAAGAAATCCTCAAACTTCCGGATCCCAGCCTCTGCGGCTGCAAGGGAGTCTGGGGGCTCCACGTGAGCCAGAGTATACTCCTGTTGAAGCAAGTTTCCAGCCATAAAGACAAGCTAAGGAGGCTTAGGGCACCCACTGAGTCACACGGTATGAACGGTGTCCCCTAGAGGACTTCACTCCCCCGGCCTGGCCCCACCGCCACCCCAGGGCACCCGGTGAGCGGTCGGTCTGAAGCTATATGGAAGGGTAGTCAGCTGGGGCAGCAGGCGTTCCTCTAGCCTCTGATTCACCCCACAACGAGACAAAGTTTAGGGCTCGAAAAGGCACAAGGTGAGGAAAAAAGAAGTCATTTCCCCCCATTAGTGACTACAAAGAGCCCAAAGCCTGTCTTGTTCCCAGAGCCCCGAAGCTCACTGTCAGACTTGCCACTAGAGCTGATGCCCCAGGAGCCCCTTGCCATCCCTGCGTACCTGGTTGCTGAGGATGGCTTCAGCCTGCTTGGCATCCTTCTGGAACTCCTGGAAGCCACGGCATTGCCTGAGAGAGTGGCCACGACTCTCCCACATCCGGCACAGGGCATCCCAGCCAGTACCCAGGCCCTCCAGCCGCTGGCCCAGGAGCTGATACTCCGGGTACTTGTGGGCTTCGGTCGCCTCCTCCCCAGAGGCTGCGGGCGGCTGGTAACCCTCTTGGTGACTGTCGATCTCCTGCTTGATGGCTGCGTGCTGCTGTAGGAACTGCTCGATCACCTTCTCCCCAGAGGCCCGGATCTGCTGGTAGCTTTCCTGGTGACCGTCAATCTCATCCTTGAGGGCCGCGTGCTGCTGCAGGAGCTGCTCGGCCTCTGGGAGTGACTCGGGCATGTCCTCAGAGGCCACAGCCTTCTGTGCCATGGACAGCCAGGCCTGGAAGTCATCCAGATTCTGCAGGAAGCCCTGCAGCTTGCTGGCTTCGCCTAGGGAGGCCTCCTGGTCCTTCAGGGCCTCTTGCAAGGTTTCCCACAGCTTCTCAACACCTGCATATCGCTGGCCAATGTCATCCTTCTGCTCAGGGTGCGACTCCATCAGCTGCTCTGACTCACGCTTCAAGGTCCCTACTCGGTCCTGGATGGCCGCAACGTCACGTTCCAACCCTGACAACTTCCTCTGGATGGTGATGATGCCTGCCAGGTCCTGCCCCAGGTCCTTTATAGACTCCACGACTGCCGTCTTGTCCGTTATCCACTTGCCGGTCTCTTCGCAGTCCACGCAGTAGTTGTTCACCCGGAGGGCTGAGTTCACTGCCTCCCTCCGCTGTGATACCAAGTCCTGGAAGGCCTGCCACCTGCCAGAGGAGGGTGAGGTCCCGGAGGGACCAGAGACAGCTTGTTCCTTAGCTCTGCCGCAAGGCCCCTCCCAGATTCCCCCTGCATCTCCCCTGCAGCCCTTGTGTGCTGAAAGAAATTTTCTACCTAGCAAACTATGGGTGAGCAAAATTTGTTTGCCTAGTTTCACTCAAGACACATCTAACCGAGGAATAGATCTCCTGCCCAGCAGGAGGCAAACGGTGATGTGATCCCAGACACACGTATGGGAACATGATAGCAAAGGCTGAGTGTGTAGCTGGAGTTCAGGCAAATACCAGCAATCTTGGATTTATGATAGTTTGGCTGTTTAGTGGTGCAAAAGCAATATGCAGTCTTAGAAACTGTACTTTACATTTCAGTCTTCCTCTAGCAGTACAAGCTATGATGCTCTGGCGAAGCTGGCAGTAGCAGCAGACTGCAGCTCCCAGCCAGCCACGAGGTCCCCAGGGTAGACAGGTGTGCCATGTTGTTAACCGAGGGTGTTTGGTGGGTGAAGTGTAGTAAATGTACTTTTTAAAAGTTGGGGGTCTCACTAATGTTGCACAGTGTTATGGTTTGTATTTGCATGTCCTCCCCAAATCCTCATGCAGTCACAGGACAGGTTTCTGGATTTTTGATTAGTCCAATGCTGGGATTATGGGTGTGAATGCTACACCTGCCCTTGGGGCAGGTAGTTTGCATACAACATAAGGGAGGGAAAGAACCTTGCTCTCTGCCGTTCCTCCCTTTTTGCTCTTGTTGCTTTTGCTGTTTTCCGCTGCCATGAACAGTTGCCCTCTGCCATGGGCCACCCTGCCTTGGAGCCAGCCAAGTATGAACTGAAACCTCCACAAACAGAGAGCTAAATAAACCTTTCTTTCCTTAATTTTGGGCATCAGGTATTTTGTCTCAGCAATGAGAGAAAAGTAACCAAGACACATAGACTGGTTTTGAACTAGGCTCAAGTGATCCCCCTGCCTCAGCCTCCAAGTAGGTGGAACTAGTGCTACTAGCGCTATGTCCAGCCATAAATGCCTTTTCTACTTAGGATATCATCAACTGACAATGGGCTTAGCAGAGTGTAAGTCCATCTAAAGTCAAGGAGCATCTGTATATAATTTCCCCGGCATTTTAGAAATGTTGGAAATAACTAGAAAGCACACATTTTTTAACTTCAAGAACACTCAGGACAGAAGGGCCCCCCAGCTGCCTTAGAGGAACACTGCAAATGCCCAAGGCCAAGTACAAAGTACTGTAGGGCCTGAAAAAAATCACTTTGGGTCTAAAAGAAAAGAAGCCTGGTAATAAGAGGAGAGAGAGGAAATCTGGGTTTATAATTAACATAGGTAACATAATCTTAACCCTCAGCTGTAGGGCTGCTCTGAAGCCACCAGTGGTGGGGAACCTATGGCATGTGTGTTATTGTGTTTTCCTTTGAAGACCAAAGATGTTAATGATTGAGTTGTTTTTATATACTAAAACCTCAGCATTCAGGTTTAATTGCAGAACTGGCTCTCTGCCGTAAAGAAGCAGGTTTTGAGCCGAAGCTTGGGCCCTCATCTCTAAACGGTTGGGACATATCCCTGGGGGCTGGGCTGGGTCTGCAGCACACAATAAGCCTCTTTGAAAGAGCTGCCCGTCAGCCAGGCCAGACCACAGGGACACCTCCTTCCGGCCCGGCTTGCTCGCTCTGCGCTGCTCTAACACAGAAGCACGCGCGCGCGAGGACACTGACTGCTCCTTCACTAGGTGAAACCGTCTCTCCTGAACACCCACAGGGCCTGAGGCATTACGTTCGACTTTGGGGAAAATCCTGACTACAGTAGATCTTCCTATGGAGTGTACAATTTAGAGAGAAATTAAGACAACCCAAAGTAACTGTCGTACAAAGGACTGTGTGCATGCGGGGAGGACAAGGGCACTGTGAGGAGGGGGTGGCGGGTTTCATGGAGGGCGTGGGGCGATACTCCAGGGCACTCACTGGGGCAGCTACTGAAGGACAGGATGCTGAGACGCTGAGCGCCTCACTCATCTTTGTACCCCAGTGGAGGCGCAGGGACTGGTCAGAGGGACCGGGCGGGGTGTGCTGCGGCCCTCCCAGGGTGAACAAGTCTGCAGGGAGAGGGACACAGAGGGAGGGACCAGCAGACCAGGAGACACAGAGAGGGAGCCTGAGGCCTTCTTGGCTTTTCTCCTGGGCTGTGAAGTCCCTGCACTCTGGGAAGTCGCGCCTGGTGTACAGACGCGGCTCTGAGGCTGTATGTGAGGAGACCAGGCTGGTCTGAAACACTCGAGAACTGACAGCGAGGTTCTCCCGCCAGAGGGTCCGGCTGTGTCCGAGGCAAGAGCCCTGGAGGTGACTTTCCAGGCCCTTCGGTAGAAAGGCCACACAGGGGACGTCTCAGTTTGGGTCTGGTCTGCCCCGCAACCCCACCCTTTCCTCTTACACGGCGCTGTCCCGGAGAGGGGGAAGGTGGCACAGTCACCCCAGTGAGTCCCGTCGGGCAACTGCAAGCATGCAGTTTGGTCCGGGGCCCAGGATTTTCAGAGAAATGCTCGTTCACTGGAATGCACACCGAGAAGGACGATCACACGTTCAACAAGCATTGGGGACTCATGCACTGAGCTAGCAGAAACATTTGAGTTTGGGCCCTGGTCACTCATTCCCCAGACATCTGCCGTGCAACTATCACACGCCTCGGGCTGGGCGGTGACCTGGGCACTGGGGGTTTTGCAAAGAACAGAGCAACGTCTCTGCCGTCTCTCAAGTGGACAGAGACGACCTGGGGCATCTATACTCCACCAAGTGGTGAGAAGCACAAGGAAGAGGAAAGCAGAGAAGCAGGACAAAGGCTGAGGGCTGGTGAGCAGGAGGAAGGCGCTTCTTTCAAGGGCGTGGTCGCTGAGGGCTGCTCCCTAAGCTGACATGTGGACAGAGGCCTGAATAAAGGATGGAGTCAGCCACGCGAGTCTCTGCATGAGGAACATCCCAGGCAAGGGGACCTCAGACTGGAATGCGCTCGGTGTGCAGAGCTCTGCGGGCAGCGGATGACAGACACGGCTCTTCATCTCCCGACAGGAAACAAACGTGCCTTTGTGCACCAGCAGAGGGGGTTTTGGTCCGTGATGGACCACACACACGACAGTGGTCTCATGAGATCATCACACAGGCGGGAAACTCCTGCGGCCTAGAAACGGGGTTGCCATTGTGTAGTGACCGTGCAGCACACGGCTCACAGGTGCGTGGTAATGCTGGTGCACCAAAGCTACAGTGCTGCCCGGTGTACAAAAGTACAGCACACGCAAGTGTGCTGGCCTGTGACACTGCGCGCCGCTATTGCTGGTTCACGTACGTACGCTAGTCTGCTGTTACTGTAGTGTACACTCCTCCTTACAAAAATGAGCTTACTATAAAACCATACGCTGCACTACCTGGCAGCAGTCTCACACAGCTCATGTTTACAATGTCTCCTCATTGCACCGTGTGCCCTTGTCCTTGATTTAACATCTCTCTTCCCCTCGGGAACGAATCCAGGACCTTGCGTGTGTGAAGCGCACTCTGCTACTGAGCTGCTACACCTCCAGCCTATTCTCGTGTTGTTTTGTTTGTCCTGGCTCTCAGAGCGATACGCTGTACTGTACACATTTTCCACACAGCCTAAGAACACAGCTGACTCCCCTCTCAGGTTACCTTATATACTCCTGAGGAAATCGCCTAGTGAGTCATTTCTGAGAACGCAGTCCTGTCATTAAGCAGTACAGGGCTGTAATTACAGGGGACCCTTGACTGGTGAACTCAATTCATTCCCGGGGGGCTGGTTGCAACTCAGGTTGTCAATTGAAAGCTCAGGCTCCTCTCTGCAGCCTTCAAAGTCTCTCTCCTGCATGCAGGCAGATCTCAGTGTCCTTAGAGAGACATCAGCAGGGGATTTCTCCACCCATACAGGAAAGGATGCTGTAATGTCCCTTCCAGAACTCTTTAAGGGTTACAGCTGTGTCTGAGGCCATCTGGAAGCACACGTGGCCAGCATTCGGGTCATAACTCAAGACTTTGGTTGTAAATTAAAACTAAAATTTCCAGTCACAGCCCAAGTTGTTTGTATGTCAGGCTGGTCCTAACTCGAGGGTCCACTGTATGATACAAGGTAGGGTGTGAAGCTCAAAACCAGTGCAAGGGAGGGAAAATGAGTTTCCCCCTGGGGGGCAGGGAAGGAGATCAGCCTGGGCCGGCTAAAGGCTGGGCAGGGCTTGGAGCCAGAGAAGTACGCGGGCAGGGAGGAGTGGAGGCAGGTGAGAGGACTGGGACTGAGATGTCGAATGACAGCTGTTCTAAACAATATTTGAAGGGCTATACGTGAGTCAGGAGAAGTTCTGATGTTTCTAAGGCACAGAGCCAGAATGAATGTGTACGGACTCCAAGGAAGCAGAATTCCACTCAACAGGAGACCAAATGCTGTCACCGGAAGAGTTGTCCTGAAATGGGACGGGCGGCTGAGGTGCCTCTCACCTCTCAGACGCGGCAGAACCATCTGAGCATTTCATGCCTCCAATTTTTTCTCACCTAAGAATATCAGGCACCTTGCTGGTTTTTACTTGGGATGGGGCACAGCGTAGAGGTCTGTAAGGACTGATATTCTCTGACTATACTTACTCCAAAGCTGACAAGTTCTTCCTGTCTGGGAGTTTCTCTAATTTTAATACCTCCTCTGAATTTGTTTCCCCCTGTCCCTGTCTGTCTCTGTCTGTCTATCTCTGTCTCACACACGTACCTCAGACTCTCATTTCCTACCAGCATAAAGAAGAGTGCAGAGGCACCCCCACCTCTCCGGATAACAGCAGATTTACAAGGGAGCTTCCTGCACGGCAGTGTCTGTCCTTTGAGGCTGAGGTAATTGGCCCCATTCTAGTGGCTTTGAAGTGCCTTCCTTAAATCCCCCGCCCCACCCGGCTCCTCTTAGGCCCTTGGGGCACCTCCACTGTGGTGGTCCATCCCCTCCCCCCCAGTGGTCCCTAAGCCCACCTCCCAGATTGCCCCGGGCAGAGCAGACACACACACACACACACACACACACACACACCACACACACTCACGCGCGCATTGTGTGGGCCCAGGATGAAAACAGGACACAGGCTCTGTCCTCAAAGATCCTCCAGGAGCTAACGGGCAATTACGCCCGTACTGAGAGCCACCTCTCTCAAAGGCTCCTCAGGGGCTGCGTTTTGTTTTGACCATGAAGCTTGCTCAAGGCTCCCTGTTAAGTCTCCTCTTCACTCAAGCCAGCCTTATTATCCGCGGAGCATTTTGGCGCAGGCGGGAGCATTCTTTCATGGACAGTACTTAAAAGCTCTCAGAGAGCACGTTCCCCTGCCCAAGACTGTCCAGGGAAACGCTGCCGAGTATCTCGGAGCCTGGTCTGGCCATAGCGCACTCGCCGCCCCCTCACGCACGGTGCAGACCTCCCCTCCCCCGGCGCTCCGAGCTCCCTCCCTCCCTCTCGGCCACTAACCCTGCTGCCCTCCGCACCGATTCTCCTGCGCGCTGCGGCAGCCCCAGTACTAGGAACGAGACCACGGCTGGGATACTCTGGGGTACACACGTGGCGCTGCTTGGCAGGTAGCCTGAATTTAGGGTGCGGGGAGAAAATCTCCCCAGCCTCCAGCCCCGCCCACGCCCCACCTGGTGTTCAGGCTGTCCTGGTACGTCTTCACTTCTCTGCTGCGGGGGTGGCCGCTCTCCATCAGGTTGTTGGCAGCGAGGTTCACGCCGTTGATCTGAGCCTCCAAAGTCTTCATCTCCTGGTCGAGGATGTCGAACCTGATTCGGACAGAGAGAATGAAGACAGTGAGGTGGTGGCGGACCCCTGACCGCCAGGGGCCCCAGTCTCCAGGCAGCTTCTGAGTTCTGCTTTCTCCTTCCACTCCTGACTGCATGTGTCCAGGTGAGGGAAGGGGCAGAGGTGCTGCCGCACCGTTTCCTGGCTCATGGGTCCAACGCCATGGGGCAGCATTTCCTGGGCGGGGTCAGGAGAGAGCTGTGAGGGACTACACAGGCTTCTGGCTCCATAGAGAAGGATGAAGGCTTAACACAGATCCAAGCTGGGCGTGGTGGTGCACGCCTGTAATCCCAGCACTCGGGAGGCTGAGGCAGGAGGATCTTGTGAGTTCCAGACCAGCCTGGGCTACAAGGTGAGCTCAAGGCCAGCCTGAACTGCATAGCGAGACCCTGTTTCAAAAAGACTCGCACGCGCGCGCGCACACACACACACACACACACACACACACACACACACACAAAGGATGAAGGGAGAGAGAGGTTTACCTGGGTAGGTAAAGACCACCTGCCACACTCTTACTGCCTCAGCTGCTACCCCTAAAGCCCTCATTCCACTACCCTGATATCCTAGTCTGCCCAGCCAGGCGCTGCATTCCTGGGTAGGGGAAGGAAGAGCTGCGGAGGGTATGTGGTTATGAAGGCTGACCCTTCCGGGGGGAAGAGTCCAGGACCCACTGTCCAGCATCACAGTGGGGCGAGATGGACACTACTCCTCTGCTCCTCCTCGATCTCCGGCTCTGTGCAGCCCGAGCACACCTTCCTGTCTGGGTGCTGATGGCATCAGACACCTGCAAGGCAGGGTGGCCGTGGAGACTGGTGGTTTACAAACTGGTCTCTGTGTGGCTTAGGGACAGCCATAGGAAACGTAGGAAACCAGAGCCGGTGGCGTTCCAGCCTCTCACCCCCACCACATCCACAGCAGCTGCACCTTTCCTCTGCACTGCCTGGGGTTCCACACAGGACTCACTGAGATGCTGCTGAGAAAAAACTAATTGGACTAGAAAATCCCTTACGTTTGAGGAACCCAAGGCCTCCACGGGGGAAGTACCCAAGGCCGCAGAGGCAGAGCGGAACTCATGACTCTTGATACCTTGATTTTGCAAGAAAGGACATCCCGTGCCCTCTCAGAGAGACCCCTTCTGAGCTAGCAGTGAGAGGCGGGACTCAGACCTGGGAGGGGAGGCAAGGAGAGGCTGAGCCACTCTGACCTGTGCTGTACAACGTCCAGGTCCTCCAAGGTGTCTGGAATGTCCATCTGGGCCAGCCACTTCTCCTTCTCCCTCATCCACAGCTGGCAGGCGTCCGACTCCCCAAATACCGTGTACAGGTCCAGAGCTTCCTGTAGCCTTTGTCTACGCAAGTCTGCCTGGGCCACCACCCGCTGGTAGAGCTCTTGGAGGGCCTGCAGCCGATTGGTCACATCCGGGGAATCCCGGAACTCTTCAGGGAAGCCCCGGGCCTGTTGCTCCAAGTGCTCCATCACCCCACGGCTCTCCTCCAGCTCCTCCAGAAAGTCCCTGTGCTTCTTCTCCAGGGCCCGCGTGGCCCCTTCATCCTGGCCCACATCCTCACCTGAGAGTAGCCGGTGGGCATCTTGTAGCCAGGCCTTCAAGTCATCCGCATCACCGTGGAACTGGAAGAAGTTCTCCGCATCCCGGAGGTTCTTCTCCCGAAAGGCAGCCAGCTCCTTCAGCTGGTCCCACTGGGCCAACACCTCCTTCATGCGGGCCTCGATCTGAGGGTACCCAAACTGCTTGCGTGCAATCATGCCCTCGGCTTCCTGGAAGATCTGCCCCAGGTGGGCATCCAGCCCTCGGAGCTCGTCCTCAAAGGCCTTGTGCTTGCGCTGCAAGATGAGCACGCTGGTCAGGTCCTTGCCGTAGTCCAGGGAGGAGTAGATCTGCTCCTTCTCCTTGATCCAGCTCTCAGCTTCATCCATCTCCCAGAAGAACTTCCAGAGCCGCTTTGATTGCTCCAGCTGCGCCTTCCGCCCGGCCGCCATGTCACTCAGCTCCTCAAAGCACTGCTGCAGGTGGCTGACTCGGTCCTTGATGACCTGGGGATCGCAAGGCTGGTACCCTGGAAGAACAGGAAGAAGGACGATACAGAATGGGAAAGGCTTCCTTTATGGACAAGTTTCAGATCCACTGCCAGGTTAGAACTGTACAGTCTCAAGGCTGCCGTCTCCCTGGGGCGTGGGGGTTGGAAGCATGGACCCTAGTTGCTGAGGGCAGGCCAGATTCTTTAACACTGGTTCCCACTAATCCTCAGGAACAAGGGAGATTCAGAGTTGAGTCAACTCTCAGTAGAAATGCACAATGTGACATTCTTTCTTTTTTTTTTTTTTGGTGCCAGGAATTAAACTCAGGACCTTGTACTTGTCAGGCAGGTGCTGTGCCACTGAGTTATATCCCCAGCAACATCCTCTTTAAAAAGCTCTCAGAAAAAAAAAATAAAAAAGCTCTCACATACTGTACAAATTTAGTGAGGTCTCCTATTCAAGACCAGAAACCAGAAACAAACTGTCTCAGTGTAACCGGAACCATAAACAGAATGAGAGCCAGATGATATTTGCTTGGTGCTTATAAAGAACCCCTCTAACTGCAGATCACCAGAGTGGCTGCCTGTTCTCTGCAGAACCTTGCCATCCCTCCTGCTTGGGGCACCATCACTCGGTTGATAAAAGGAGCAGAATTCCAAAGGCAGTTGCAGGAGGTAGCCCCTAGGAGGGGCGCTGGGCCAGAGAACAGGGCTCTGGCATCAGAGGCCTTGACAGGAGCCACTCTGGGCCTCACCTGTGCTCTCAATGAACGGCAGGGTGGCCGCGGTGATGGCCTTCACCTTGTCCCCTTGGATGGCGATGTCAGCTTCCATCAACTTGTGCTTCTGGAGCAAATCCTCAGCCTCCAGCAGGTGCTTCCCAAACTCGGCTGACAAGAGGAGAGCCTGGCAAAGGACACAGGAGCGGGAATGAAGGGGTGTGAAAGAAGAGATCCCCATGGCCAGGTATCTGAGTCAAGGGAGTTGGGCTGCAGCTCAGGAGGAAGCAGCTGCAAGCAAGAGCTCCTACTGGGGGTGCCCGCTGGACTCTCTCAGGACGCCTACAGGAGCTCAAGCCCCACCCACACTCCTCTACTACATCTGTCTCAAGGCCTGGGGCTGGGCATGCGCATTTGTGGAGAGCTGCACGGTCATGCTGATGTGTGTCCCTGGTTGAAACCACTGCGGCAGAGGGAGAGCGTGCATCAGGTTTCTCGGGTTGCCCTGTGCTGAGAGATCTGGATGCCAACCAGTGTGAAACTGTAATTACTTAGAGCCTGATTCTCCAGGCTCCTGATTAATGTGCATCTCTCCCAGGCCCTGCAGGTTGGCCCCTGTATCACCATGAGCACAAAATCACTAGGTCACTGAGGACACTCTGGACCTGCATTGGTGACATTTGCTGGATGGAGAGTGAACCGAGCGGCAGACAGACAGTGCAGTCCGACACCATCCTGACTCAGTTCTCCGCTGGGCCTCAGGGACATGGCTGTCGGGAGAGGATCTAAGGACGCAGGCATGAACTGCGGGGCTCTCGGGGCCCACAGCGAGTGCTAAGGGGTGGGGCGTGAGGGCAGCATCCCCCGCCCACCTTGATCTCGTCCATCCAGTCGATGCTGTGCAGCATGTCCTGGAAGAGCTTCTGCAGCTCCAGGGTGGCTTGGAGCCTCTGGCGCCGGGACTGCAGCAGCTCCAGCAGGTAGCTCCACAGGCGCAGGATGTTGTCCTTGCGGGCCAGGATGCGCTTCTGGTCATGGTAATTCTCCTTCTCCAGCTCCTGGGCCAGGTCCTCCAGGGCCTTCACCCGCTCCTTGTAGGAAGCAGTGTCCGTCTCGATGGCCTCGTGCTTCTTCTTGGCAGCCTCCACCGCTGCCAGGTCATACCCGAAATTATCCTGTCCCCAGGGAGAAAAGCAGGTCGCTTAGCTGGACGCCCCAGGCTCCTCCCCGTGGCTGGGAAAGCAGGTTCTTGTGGAAGAGTTGCTTCTGCTCTTTCAGCAGCTGATCTCATGAGAGCCAAGTTCCCTAAACTAAATGTCTCACAAGAACCCCTGCACCACACATACTGGCAGCATTGTGTCCCAAACTGTCACTTTTAAAAGAATTTTTATAGTACATGTTTGCAGTACGTAGTGATTACATTCCTCATGGCGGAATTGGCGCAGGTACCTAACACATCCTAATTCTTTTTATGTCCCCGTCTTTCCCTCTCCCTGAACCCTGCTATTACCTTCGGAGCTCTTGGAGAGCCCACAGCACCCCCACCCTGCCTCAGTAGACCAGTCTGATTCTTTTTTTTTTGGTTGTTTTTCCGGTACCGGGAACCGAACTCATGACCTTGCGCTTGCCAGGCAGGCGCTTTGCCGCTGAGCTAAATCCCCAGCCCCTAGACCAGTCTGATTCTGAGGCTCAGGGGCTGCTTGGACCTTGAAGCTATGCAGCTGCAGCAGATGGTCTCCCCACGCGCTGTCTGGGGCGCGCGTACCCTCTCTAATGATCTCAGGATCTCGCTATTCCTTTTCTGGACAGCATTTAATTTGATTCCAAGCTCTAAGTAGGAGGGAACAGATGCTCTGATGAAGGATCAGCCCTTGGTCCGTTCTTAGTGAAACGCATCCCAGGCCTGGAGGCCAGAGGCAAAGGGGCACATTTGACAGACAGCCTGGCCTGATTCACCTTCTCCCTGGAGAACCATCATGTAATGGTGACTCCACCTCCCACTTTTATTGATGTTAGTGGCCCACATAAGACAACGTCAGGGGGCAGTTCTGGACTGGCAGGCTCTTTCCTAAAAATGAGACTGGGGTAGCTTAGTAGCACGCATGAAGCACTGGATTCAATTCTCAGCACCAAAAAAGACAGACTTAAGAAACCCCCAGGGGTTCTTCCTTCAATAGAAGTCTTGATCCGGCTGATCACAGGGAGCTGGCACCAAGGAAGAGAGGTCTATTGGCTGCTGTGAGACTCCAGTGTGGGCTCCAGCCCAGCTGAGAGCTGGGGGCACTGAAGTACCTCCCCTCTCTTTCCGTCCTCAGGTGTGTCCCCGTTACCTGCGTCACAAGGCGCTGGTTCTCACTGAGCCACGTCTCTCTCATGGCGGCCTTCCGGTCAAAGCGCCGGGCCAGCTGCTCCAGCTTCTCCTGGCGGATGAGCTCGCTCCTCAGGGCCAGTTCCCGCTGGTACTCAGCCTCCTCCAGGCTCTCCCAGGCCTGCATGGGGCAGAAGGAGCACTCCTGGGGCGTGTGGGAATCCCTCAGCTTGGGATCCCATCTCTTTCACCAGCTTGGGATCCCATCTCTTTCACCAGACACTGAGCTACTTCAGGAATGGAGGTAGATCCGGTTGCTCATGGGTGAGGAAGCTGGCAGACCAGTGCTCAGGAACAGCCCTTTGGTTTCATGGCTGGGCCAAAATGCCAAGGAGTACAGGTCATGACTTCTGGGTTCCCTCATCTGCCAGACCTGCCTCAGACTTTAGGCCTTATATACTGTTTCTTGCTCTCTGGCTGCTCAGGACGTTTTTACTGACTTAACCCTACCTCTATGCTAGTAGAACTTCCAGGTAGGGTTAAGTCTCCAAACCTCAGAAGTGTCACAGGGCGCTTCCCTTCTGTGGTAAGTAATACTCCAGATTCAAAGACAAACCAAGGTTTCACAGAGGATACACAATGAAATTGGCTCTGAAGAATGGACTCAGCATCTGAACCGGGGGTGGGGCTAAAGGATAGTGGGTGGAGACTGACCCCTAGAATAACCCCCAAAATAGCTGGTATGTAACCAATAACCCCAAAGAAAGTGCCCAGTGGATGCTCTTCACGGTCGTATCAGGAACTCCTTCAACCCGCCACAACATGTAAGGGAAAACGTCACTGTACCCGGTTGATGTCAGAGACTAGTTTCCCATCGTGCGGTGTGTACACTTTCTGATTGTTGGCTCGCATCCGGGACTGGATGGTAAAAAGTAGAACTTCCAGATTCCCCTTCTCCTGAAACCTGTCGGATAAACAGGAGTAGAGAGACTGGTGTCATGATCCCCACAGCCAAATTGCTTGCTGAAGTCAATGCAGAATGCTGATACCTTGAATCCTGGTGATCAAAACATTTTCTTTAAAAATGGAGAAAATAAAGAGGAAATTGTAGGTCTACTTACCTGTTACAATGTCTATTATTCTCCCGCACAGAGATCTACTAAGGGCTTGGGTCTTTATGATGTAAATCATGGCTACCACAGCATCTACCATTTGCTTCCACCAGGGAATAGCTAATAGGAGTACTCCGGTAACTCCTGTAAACATCAGGTTTCACCAGTCAATACAAAGAGACTCCTCTCTGTTCTGCCAGTGATAAAAGCTTCCGACTAGCTCTTCAGACAGTTTCTTTTTTTAACCGATTCAGTCAATAAAGCCTTAGAAGCAGCACTGTCTACCTGACAATATACTGCACTGAAAGCAACCTTCACCCCAGTCCTAATGAGCTAGGTCTCCGGCAGGTCCTCTGAGCCAGGTGTTTCCAATGGATCAGGAAAGGGGGCTCGGCGAGGTCTGTGGGGACAGCAGATGAGAACTGGCAGAGGATGGCTGTCCACCGGGTGGAGTCCAAGCTTTCGGTGACTGGCGCTCTCACATGTCTTCACGATCTCAAGAATCTGCCCACTCCTACATCCTTGACTTGGCGAACGAGGATTGGCCTGGAGCAAAGTTTCCACTGCAAGCCTGGCCAAACACCTCAGCTCTCACGGATGCTCAGGTGAGTGAGGCCCTGAAGTGCTGTCCTGCCTACACCGCCGAGAGGTAACATCCCTGTGTGCAGTGCTGAGTAGACACGCGGGAGGCAGAATCTGTACTGAATTTAGGACTCTATTTTTATTTTCTAATTTTTTGTCTTTTTGAGACAGGGTCTTGCTATGCAGTTCGAGCTGGCCTTGAGCTCACTTTGTAGCTCAGGCTGGTCTTCAACTCGCAGTGATCCTCCTGCCTCAGCCTCCCGAGTGCTGCGATTATAGGCATGTGCCACCACGCCTGGCTGAATTTAGGACTTTAAAAGTAGGTGAGTGTCAGACTAGAATCCAGACACTTGTTAATAGTACACTCTAGTCTTGGAGTCTCATGTTTCCCCACTTCAGTCGTGAAGGGAGAGTGCGGGAGATGAGACAGGAGGAGCAAGGCCGAGGAGGCCACCAGTGAACTGCAAACCTCTTGTAGGACAGCAGGACAGGCTAACAGCAGAGAAGCTAGAATGCTTCATAGGTGTATGTGTGTGTGCACATTTGTGTGTGCGCATGTTTGTAAATACATGCATGTATGTGCATGGCTGTGTCTACATAATTGTATGTGTGCACTGTCTGTGCATGTGCATATATGCATGTGACTGTACATGTGTGCCTGCATAATTGTATGTACATGCCTATGCATGCGTGTAGTTGCAGGTATACTACATGTTCCCATTGTTATGTGTGCGTGGTCGCATGTGGACACATGCACATGCATAGTTATGTGTGTGCATACCTGTGTGCCTGCATTATGTGTGCACATGTGGTAGGGCTTTGCAGAGATCTAGGAAGCAGGCTTAGTGCTCTGCTCATGAGCAGTGACAGATGGGAGAGAAAAAGACAGATGTACTTGATGAGCACTCGGCTTCACACAGAGCTCAAGGGCTGAGGATACAGAAGTCAACACCAGAAAAAAAACCTGCTGCTGAGGGCGCAGATGAGAGAGACTCAGAAGACTGCCACTCCTCTGCCACTCCTCAGAGGGCTGGCTCTGAGTCAGGGTTTTCATCAATACCTGTTTCCTACAAGCTGATGGCCCAAGGGGCACGAAGTCGGTGACAGACGTGGAGCTCTCCGGCCTTGAGGAGAGCCTTGTGGACACCTTGATAAGGCCCCGAGCTCAGGAAGGCAGAAGGCTTCTTGGCCCCTGACCACCACCCTCCCGGGAGCCGGGGCCCTTACTTGGGCGGCTTCTCCACGGTGCGGTAGGTGCTGAAGGCCTGCAGCTGCTGCTGGACGCCAGCCAGCGAGTTGGCAAACTTGCGGCTATTCAGGACGACGATGGTCTGCTCGATCCACGTGAGCAGGTCCGAGGCCAGCTCGCTGTACTTCTCAATCATCTTCTCAGTCTCGATGGCGTGGTCGATGACCTAAGGAATCTCCCCGTTACTCACTCTCACCCCAAGGGTAATGCCGCCAAGGAGACCACCCATGAGGACCACCGCTGAGGTGCTCTGAAACGGGGCTCCCATCTCCCAAACCCTGGAATGTTCTAGGCTGGGTTTGTCCCAAGGCCCTGACTATTGCTAAGGCAGAAGAGGTGGCCCGAAAGTGAGTGAAACACTCTCCTTGCACTGGTAGTTAGCAGGGAACTGGCCAGTCTGGGGTTCAGGAGCGGTTGAACCCTATTATTGATATGCTTGCTACAGTAGGACACCTGCCTCTAGAGCGGCTAGGGTTTTCATTTATTTTAAAATGTTCAGGCCAAGCGTGGTGGTGCATGCCTGTAATTCCAGCACTCAGGAGGCTGAGGCAGGAGGATCACTGTGAGTATGAGGCCAGCCTGGGCCACAAAGTGAGCTCAAGGGCAGCCTGAACTGCATAATGAAACCCGGTCTCAAAAAGGTAAAGAAGTAATGTTCATTAGGAACGGCGGGCTGCCAGGCACTGTCTTTGCTATGTGCTATGCACACAACAGTGATAAGAAATGGTCCCTAGCTCTGAGGCGCTAAGACCCAGGTGGGGAAAGCAGTCAAGAAAGAGGCTCTGTACAGAGGCGTGGCTTTCTGGTTTAAGCTGGGAGCCTGAGAGGCCTGGAGCCACAAGAAACACAACAAATGAGGGCCCTGAGTAGTTCCTGCAGGGAGGCTGGCAACACAGGTTTCCAGGCGGAAGCCCCAGATTTGCAGGCTGCAGCGCCTTGTAGGGCAGACACAGTCCCGCTTCAGAGCTAGCTCAAGAGCGCTAAAGGAAGATGGGGGCAGGTGTTTTGTAACCCTCATGCAGCTGGGGGCCTGGGCCTGAAGCTCCCGGGTTGGTGAGGGGCCTCTCGGTCAAGGCCTCACTACGGTAAACACAGGACGGGGATGCTGCGCCGATGACACGGCTCTGTACCTTGCCGACGCGCTTGCCCTCCACCGCCAGCACCTTCATCTTGGAGAAGTAGTGGTAAAATGCCACCACGTAGGTGATGATGGATTTCTCATCAGGGTTTTCTGTGAAGACATCTGTAAGCGGGGAGGGCACCTTCTCAGCACCAGCCCGGAAGCCAGAAAAATCATGCTCCAAGGGCTTGGCCCCGTTCCTGCAGCAGGAAGCTCAACTACAGGGACCATGTGCTAAGCACAGGGACAAGAACGGGGGGCAGAAGGCCCGTGATTTTAGATGGTGGTGAAATCCCTACGAGGACCACAAATTGCAAAAGGAGAAAGAAGAGGGGACCCCAGACTCCAAGGACTCTCACACAGGCCAGGCAAGGCCCCGAGTCCAAGTGGAATGGAAGAGCAGGCCCGGCACACAGCCCTGGACCAAGCACTAGGAGCCCCACCCACCCAGCGCCCTCCAGGACAGGGAGGGGTGCGCCCACCTTCGGGGTCGAGGAGCGGGATGATGCCTAGCTGGCGCTCGGCCACGTCAAATGCGTGCTCCAGGTTGTGCCGGGCATTGGAGTCCTTCAACTTGTCAAAGTCGATGAGGTCAGGCCTGCAGATGAAGCCGTGCTGTTAAAAAGGCGGGGTTGAGGCAGCCTCACCTCCAGGGCAGCCCCAGCAGGAAGCAAGGACGCTGGGCAGATGCAGGGAGGGGGACAGGCAGGAGAAATGGGAGAGAGGAGCTGAGAAGAGCGGGCAGCTGGGAGCACAGCGGGCGAGGAAGTGGCAGCAGGTGTGACTGACAGGAAGCAGGGCCACTAGGGGAGCCAAGGGTAGAAGCAGACTAGGAAGGGACAACATTCCCACGATGCGTCCTCACACCCCAACAGTAGGGGGCGCTCCCTCCTCATACCGGTGCTTGTGTATCAGGGCGTTAAAGGCCAGGCCATCCTTCCAGCTGGAGGTGAAGTTGGTGACGTTGACATGGGGGTAGCTAGTCAAGAGAAATATAAGATCTAAGAAATAGATCCTTTTGCAGTCACAAGCTTATGTGTGTGACCTCAGTGAGTCACCAGGAGAGAGAGGCCTGTGCCTTCTGGAGCTGCTTTAACACAAGGGGGTGCCGCGGCTGCACACAATGACACCCCCACAAGCTGTGGTGCTCTGACAACCCCACGGTCTGACCCGAGGCAGCTCCAGAAAAGAATCCTGCAGTCCAGGCCTCAAAGAATCAGGCCAGGCCACACTTGCACCTGTCTATGTACTCAGCAAGGATGTCAGGTGTGTCTTGGGGACAGCAGCCCCTGGAAGGAGTGAGGGGCTGGTGGGGAACACAGCTATGGCAGATTCCCAGGGCATACACACCCTGCCGTCTTCATCTGGCACCACAACAGCAGAGCATCCTTGGCTGAGCGTGTCTCACGGCCTTCCTGAGTTTGGACAACAATGTCCTGAATCTGCAGGTGGCAGAAAAGAGAAGCAAATCAGCTGTGCACCTGACTCTGCCTCTTGCCTCCCTCTGTCTTCTCCTCCGCGGCCATCCGCCTGCAGCGATAGAGCCACCTGCAGCGATAGAGCCACCTGCAGCAATCCCACCCTGCAGCTTTGGGCCCCAGCCTCAGTCAGCTAGCAGGAAATAGGGACGCTTCCACACGCCAGAGGAGGGGGCTTTAATCAGACCACTCAAGCAGGAAGCCCAGAATGGATGGGAAGATGCCCTGGTTCCTCCTCTGGCGTTACCCACAAGGTGGTAGAAGGATGTGAATATCGGACGGTGTAATTTTTTATTAGCAGCTTCTCTTGCCTTTACCTTCTTGTCAGTTGTGCTGGGTTTTGTTGCCCTTGTTTCGGTTTGTTTTTGCAGTACTGGGGAATGAAGCTGGCCTTACACTACACTCTATCCCTAGACCTTCCCCCTGGTCCCACCCCTGGTACTGGGAATCGAACTCATGACCTTGTGCTTGCCAGGCAGGTGCTGTGCCGCTGAGCTAAATCCCTAGCCCCTATCCCTAGACCTTTCTAAAATTTTGAGACATGGGCCTTGCTAAGTTACTAAGTTGCCCAGGCTGGGCTGTGTTATAACTTGTGTCTAGATGTCCCCTGTGATGGTTTGTGTCTTCATGTCCCCCTAAAAGACTCATGCAGTCATGGGGCTAACTTCTAGAGTTTGTGACTGATTCATGGTCCAATGCTGGGATTATGCATACAATATAAGGGAAGGAAAGAACCTTGCTCTCTGCTGCTCCTCCCTTTTGCTCTTGCTGCTTTTGCTGTTTTCTGCTGCCATGAACTGCTGCCCTCTGCCATGAGCCACCCTGCCTTGGAGCCAGCCGATTATGGACTGAAACCTCCACAAACTGTGAGCTAAATAAATCTTTCTTTCCTTAATTTTGCGCATCAGGTATTTTGTCTCAGCAGTGAGAGAAAAGTAACCAAGACATCCCCACAAAGCCTCCTGCAGTCATAGGTGGGGCTTTTTCAGAGGTGGCTGAATCTAGAGTGTGTGACTGATTCGTGGCTTGATGCTAGGACTAAGGGGCTAGGATTAAGGGTGTGTGATTACTAAATCAGACCACTGATTGCTCTGGCACTGTCCTAACCCCAGTAGCCTGGATACAATATAAGGAACAGAAAGAGGCTTGTCTTGTCCCTTGCTTGCTTTGCTGCCTTCTCCCGCCATGAACTGTTTTTCCTCTGCGATGCCCCTCTGCCAAACCACCCTGCCTGGGAGTTAGCTGATTATGCACTGAAACCTCCATGAACTTTGAGCCAAATAAACCTTTCCCCCCTTAACTCTGGGTGTTGGTTATTTTGTCCAGCAATGAGAAAAGTAAGACAGGCTGGAACTTGCAAACCTCCTGCATCAGCCTCTCAGGGTGCTGTGTGAGATTAGAGGTGTGTGCAATGCCTGGCCCCAGGCTAGTGTTACTGTTTCATCTTTTGCACACCTAAGATCAGATATGCAGGACCAGTGGGATGAGGCCTTTGGTCTGCGGGCTGTTTCGCTGTCTTCCTCCTTTCCCTCACCTCCTTGGGTTACGTCCTTCCCATCCGCAAGCCAGAGGCTGTGAGGTCCTGTTTCCCTTTCCTCATCCTTTCTAAATTTCCTTACCAATAATCTGGGCCTTGAATTTCAGGATGAGAGAAAAGTGTCTGGTTAAAAGCAGATTTTCTGTACCATTTTTGAATCAAATTCTTCCAAAAAACAAGAAGTTACACACAAGAGCAGATAAAAGGGCGTATAAAGCAGATCTTCCAGCTATTGAAACCCAGCTCCTAGTTAACTTCTGTCTCCTCCCTCAAAAGAGCATGACCTGGAAGCGGCCCCAGCCGTCAGCACTGAGGGGGCGACACCGAAGATGGTGTTTGCTTCTGACGAGCACTGTCCTCCCACAGTGTTCACCGCCATGTAAGGTTCCTGAGCTCTGGCCAGCTCCGAGAAGCCGCCGAGACCCACCTGGAAGCGGAGGATGATGGTCCAGATGAGGCCCAGGACCAGGCGGTGGTTGCCATCCACGATGTCGTGGGAGCCCATGTTCTCCAGGTGCACGCGCTGCTCCTTGAGGAACTGCAGGGCCTTGTCCACATTCTCCAGGCAGTGGATGCGCATCTTCCCCTTGGTGGGCCTTGGCTGGGGAACAAGTGGCCCCCGTGGACATGGAGGGACTACAAGGTTGGCCCAGAGGTGGCTGCAGCCTGTACCGCATCCTGCCTAATCCCCACTTTCCTGGCCAAACTCCAGGCTCCACAGTTGCTCCCAGCACTTTCCAACCCTTCCCTCCACAAAGTTCAGAGGTTGCTGCCTCGGCACTCAGAGCTCTGCAGCCAGCTTGCCTGGTTCCCCTCCCGGGTCTGACACTACCTTCTGAGGGGTGCCGATGACACTCCAACACAGCGCCACAACGGGCAGCTAAGTGAGCACCTACTAAGCACTAAGCATCACAGATGTTAACTGCATTATGTGAACCTACTCCAGGGTGACCCACTCAAGGGGAATTTCAACTCAGGGTAAGAGGCAGAACATCAGCCTTTTTATTCACACTAGAGGACCCCAGAGTCAGAGGTCCCATTAGGCACCAATATCATTGTCCTGATTCTCCACATGGAGGAAATAGAGGTAAAGAGTCCTGCTTGAGAGGTGCGAGCTCACAAAGGAAATAGCTGAGTAAAAAATGCCTCTCCACCTATTTTTCCTTCAAGGGCAGCCATACTGCCAGGAAGTACAATCGAGAGGGCCGCTAACAGAGTTCTGTTCGCACACACGGTAAAACATGCAGACATTATTTTCCATGCTTTCCTCTTGGTCCCAAGAGGAATGCAAACTTCCTCAGAGACCCAGACATCCCAGCCCACATAAGAACCTGAGGCCCAGGCCCCTGCAGGCTGCTCCAGATGCCCAGGCCCCACGAGGAGGACGGAGCTCTCCGCGGCTTGTGGAGAAGCATGAAGGGGCAGGAGAGGTCAGAACAGGTGAGAAGTCCTGGGAAGAGGCCAGAGAAGCCAGTAACCATATGGAAACTTTAAGCACTGGAATCTCCCAGAGGAACGAGGGAAACCCTGGCAGACCACGTAAACTTCAGATAGCCCCGACCCTGTCGTTCCTAGAGAGGGACCCAGGGCACAGTCCCCAGCCCAGAAGCTGGCCCAGCACAGGGCAGGGCTTTACCAGCATCTCTCCCGAGAGCACCTCCAGCAGCTTGATGAGCATCCGCCCATCCCGCAGGTCCTTGTAGAGATCGGTGATGCGGCAGGACACGCGAGCCAGGTGGGAGTTGACCCATTTTGTGAAAGTCTTCTTCTGCACAACTTCCCGCTCATCTGGATGGGAGCAGAGCCTTGGGTGAGCCGTTTCACACGGGCTGAGGGGCTTTACCTTCACTCCAGGGTCCCCCAGGCCTGGCAGAGAAGACTGAGATGTCTTCGTGCCACCCTCTTGCCGGGAGTGCGTGTGACTCCTGGTAACACAGGGCCACGGCCATCAGGACTAAGGCGATGAGGACATCTCTTTCACCACTGCCACTTACCGTGCACTGTAGCACGTCACCCCAGACTCAGCTGTCAGTCAGAATATTCTGTAGTATTGCACCATCAAATTCAAATTTCCATACAGGCCCATCCATCCATCCGCCTGTCTGTCTGTCCATCTGTCTGCCCATCCATCCGTCTGTGCACCCATCCATCCATCCATCCATCCATCTATCCATCCACCCACCTACCCATCCATCCAGTTCCATCTGCCTAGAATGTTCTTTCTTGTCCACTCCACTCCACACTATTTTCTTCACCCAGCTCCCATTCATCCTTTAAGATTCAGTGTAAATGGACCTCTCAATAAGGAGGTCAGGACAAGCTCTATAGCCATACAGTGGCTATGTGCAAACATTTATTCAGTCCTTCTTATGTAGCAGGGCTATGCTCTGCTGATGACAGGTAAAACAAATCGCTTGCCCTCCAGGTAGGTAGTGGAGAATGAAAAGCAAGGGGAGAGTCCACATGGGGTTGAGGAGAATGAGGGTGGCCTGGACTGGGGCTGTCCACAGTACTATGTTATGTTTCTCACCCCTAGAATGGCCAGTAGGTTTTCTTGATCTTCATCCCTGAGACAGTGACAAAATACCCATGATGTACCAGTTTAGGTGGGCCCTAACTACTGGCATTTTTTCTTTCTTTCTTTTTTTTGTTTTTTTCTTTTTTGAGACAAGGTCTCACTATGTAGTGCAGACTGGCCTTGAACTTGCTTACGTAACCCAGGCTGGTCTCAGACTCATGGCAATCCTCCTGTCTCGGCCTTCCAAGTGCTGGGATTACAGGTGTGTGCCACCACTCCTGGCTACTACTGGCACTTCTGTGCAAATAAGTGCTGGTGCCCCCTTCAGGCGAGGGCTGGAAAGGAGACAGAAGACTGAACTAGTTCAAAGAAAAGGAAAGAATGGCAGAGGAGAGAGAGAAGAAGAGAAAGAGCACCAGAAAAGAAAAAGGGTAGAAACAATTCCTTGAGATCAGAGCATTAAGTGAAATAAACCAGACACACAAGCTTAAATATCACATGGCTTCTTTTATATGAGAAACCCAGAGTATAAATACAGTTTTTAGTATAAATAAATGAAAGAGCAAAATAAAGACAGAGGACAGGAAACGGGGAGGTAGATCTTTACCAAATGGGAAGGCACCGAGAAGGGGGAGGGAGGGACAGGAGGGGAAGGACGAAGCTGTGTCCTGTACGTGCCCCAGCTCCCGAGATGGATGCGATCAGTACGCACTGCGAACATGTACTACTAAAAATTTAAAAATTTTAAAAGGAACCAAAAAGAAAAGAGCAGACGAACATAGCGAAGGCGACCTGCAACTTTGTTCTGTTCTGTTTGGTGAACAGTTTGCGGCCTTCGGCTCCTGGGCATTTATTTGGTTTGAAGATTCAGGACAGAGCTGACCTGGCAGCGCGGCCGGGCCCTGCCGGACCTGCGGGAGCGCGTGCGGGTGGAGGTCACGGGCAGGGACGACGCAGAGCGGCCCGGCCAGGAAGGAATGCCGGGCCACTGTGGGAACAGGCTGGATGTGCATGCAGCTGAGCCCAAACCAGGGAAGGATTGGCTTTTTAAATTATTAAATGTATGGCTTAACAGCAGCCAGTACTGCCTCAGGGGTATAATGCTGGCAGTTCCTGAGACTTTAGCATCCAATTCCTTCCAACTTCATGGCTATTTTAGTGCTAGGAACTCAGCCTCTTTACTCATCTGTTCATTCATTCAGCAAATATTTACTGAACAGCCATCACGTGCTGGGCCCTGGGTGGAGGCGGGGAATTCACGGACAACACAGACTCCCCAGACCCCGAGGCAGAAAAGCTATTATAAATATGAAGGGTGTTTGAGCCATGTATAAAGCGGTCTGTGGCAGCCGCCTAAATAAGAATTCTAAGAAGAGGAAAAATACCACACTATGAGCTATAGAAATCTTAAAGAAAAATAAAGCTAAAATGGCATTCATTCACTCTGGGCCTCTGGGCAGAGTTCCGTGGGGAAACACCTACCTTACCCTTTCACTAGCAGCAAATTACAGGGTGTTCCCCGTTTCAAGGGTTGCTTCAGCAAAGTGCAACTAAAGTTTGGATGACACGTTGGCACAACGCAGCCACACTTACGCTGGGCATGTGTGGATTCCACAGAGCCAGTCCCTGTGCCCAAGGGCTCCCCTAGAAGCCACATCTGCTCCTTAAGTGGCTCGCTCTTCCGATCTGAGTGGAACCTTTGCCTAAGGAACTGAAAACTTCAGCCCTTTTGGAGGTGAGTATCCCTCAAAGCTAAAGTCCTTTATTCCTTCCCCATCTCCCTGGCCTTAAGAATCCAAAAGTTTCATGACCTGGGTACGAAGACCTATTTATTTCTGCTTGGCAAAGTGTAGGGAAGTGGGTCTAGCTGGGGACACAATTTAATCCCAGGCTGCTGGGTGGAACATATGTTAGTGCAGAAGTCTCACCAAGCGCCCGAGACGACCCAGGTTCCAGCACAGCAATGATGCCTCCTGGACCTCAAACGCTAGAGCTGCAGGCAGAGAGCCCAGCAGGTGGCTCCTGGCTGCCTCTGCTTGAGGGTGGGGGTGGGGATGGTTACCCAGAATCCCCAGGCCCTGAAACACTTTTCAGTGCTGAGACTTGGGACAGATTCCAGGAAGCTAATGGGCAAAAGGAAAGAAAAGGCCCAGGGCTGGGGATTAGTGTCCATTAGCTCTTTTGCTCTAGCTGCTCCACTTTGGCGTGCTCAGCACATTCACCCTGCACGCCCAGATGCTGCCGGGAGCCTCCCGAGTGCAGGAGTGGCTGGTGGTTCTGGGAGTGTGGACAGGAGATGGCTGTGCACCAGGCCCAGTAACCGAGGGAACCCATGCTGTCCTGCAGGGGACCTGCTATGGGGAGGAGGCTGGGACGTAGTTCCAGAGCCCGTACCTGGCCATGCACAAAGGGTGCTGGAGCACAGGCTGCCTCAGCTCTGTGCCCCTCATGGCCCCCCCCCCTTCTCCCCTTCTCTCCACTCCTCTTCCTTTCTCTCTCTGCCAGCCATGGCCACCCTCAGTGCTCACACATATTAAGCTGCCTGTTATGATTGATACATTGTGTCTACTTGAGGAGTCTAGAAGCTTAACTGAGTAACTCAGCAGTTCTACATCCTGGGGTGTAGAGGACATGCCCTAGCACTCTAGGATGCTGTTCACTGTGTCAACTTGGGAAGTTTAGAAGGTGAACTTGTGACTCAGCAGGGGCCAGGGTCCGTACATTGTAAACATCCTGAGCTCCTGGAAGAGGAGGGCCCCGAGATGGTGTGGAGATATATAAGGGAGGAAGAGAGGCTTGCTTCTCCCTCTTCCTGTTCTTGCTGCTTTTGCTGCCTTGAAGTGTTGTCCTGGTGCCATGCCACCTTGCCTTGGAGCCAGCTGATTATCCCTGAAAGCTCCACAAACCGTGAGCTAAATAAACCTTTTGTTCCTTAATTTTGGGTGTCAGGTATTTTGTCCCAGCAGCAAGAGAAAAGTAATCAACACAGTGCCCCTAGAAAACCATCTTCTTCCTGATAGGCCCTGGCCCAGAATTATTGTCCAGGGTCCTGACTGGGTGAATTTTCTCTATACCTCCAGTTAAAAGTTTAGCTGAGGTCAGGTGTACCTGTGGCACCAAGACCACTGCCATCTACATTCTTTTTTTTTTTTTTTTTTTTTTTTTTTTTTTTTTTTCTGGTACTGGGAATTGAACTCATGACCTTGCACTTGCCAGGCAGGCGCTGTGCCGCTGAGCTAAATCCCCAGCCCTTGCCATCTACGTTCCACTAGGCCACTGTTACTCCAGTATTTACCCACTGGAAAGCGCGTTCATACACGGAAGGTGCTGCACACACAAAGTGTGCTGCCCCATGAACTAGTGTCCTCTCCGCCACCTTTCCTACTGCTGTGTGCAAGGGCAGTGCTAGAGGCTGCCAGGGACTAGACTGGCTTACCCTCGCCACGGGCTCACCATCCACCAAAGAAACAAGGTCTAAACTCACAGCGCATCGTGAGTCACCAGGCAAATGGCACCCATAACATATGCTGACGAGGTCAAGGAAGAGAGAGGTCATTTCTAATGGGAGTTGTCAAGGGGTCCTCGTGGGGAAAAGCTCTTGGACAGGCAGTGGGAAGGTGGGGTCAGAATGAGCCCACGCAGATAGCTGTGCAAGGTCGAAGCTTGTTCACAGATTACTGAAGAGCTACAGGTTAGCAGACTTGTGGGAAACAAGATTTCACCAGTCTGTGGAAATGCTTGGATGTGAGGCTTAGAAGTTTAGGTTTGATCCCAGAGGCAAAAAGGAACCCTGAAGGTATGGCAAGGTCATTCCTGACATGCTAATTTGTAAGGTCCCCAAGGATAACAAAAAGAAAATGTTTCAGATTACCTTTCTGTTTTTGTTTTTTGTTTTTCATGATTTTCATGACAGGGTCTCACTATGCAGTTCAGACTGGCCTTGAACTCACTATGTAGCCCAGGCTGGCCTTGAACTCATGCTGATCCTCCTGCCTCAGCCTCCCAACTGCTGGGATCACAGGTGTGTACCACCACACCTGGATTTTTACACTGAGTTACTGGATAAGAAAACTCAATATCATTAAGGTAGCAACTTACCCTAGATTAATACATTAATAGATTTAAATATCAATCATTACATTTTATTTTATATAATAATTATGATATTACTGATATTTAAATTATCAAAGTTTGGGGGAAAAACTGGAGAAATGATTCAAATATTTTTTTTTAATTTTAAAGAGGGTAGTACATGAGAAACAAACAAACA